ATAATCATCAATAGTTTTTTCCTAAAAAAAAGAAAAGAAAACAAACATTAAAATTCATTTATTTACGAGATAATATATTTTACATACTCTATCTGGTTGAAAATCAAATGGATCAGCTGCTATATTTGGATCATCATCATTACCCGGAAATAAAGACATTTGATCTGCATTACCACCTATCTTACCCATTATTGTATTATTATCATCAGTAGGAAATAATGGCATTTGACGTTTATGTCGTACAGGTAAATCATTATTAGTATTCATATCAAATTGATTTGATAATGAACCAGCATCATAATTATTAAAATCTGAACCTGTATGTAATGATGGGTCATTAGGTATATTATTTGTTGGATTACTATTAAATGATACAAATACATTTTCAAAACGTTCTTTTGGTAATAAAAGAAAACTAAATGCAACGGTAAGTGCTATTTTCCATATCGATGCACCTATATTTGCTTTTGATCGTACAGATTGTAAATGTCTTTTATATGTTCCTAATGGTATATTTAATTTTCCTAATTTGATATCTCTATCAACATAATTTTCCCACCATACAATCGATACACAAAATAAAGCAACAGGTGCTTCCCAACCAAAACGTATTCGTACTTGTTCAATTGTATCTGTTGTTGCTTTTATTGAATTACTTAATGCTGTATTTAGTGTATCAAATGTATCTGATGATAATGATTCACCAACATGTGTTGTTTGTGTTGTTGTTGTTGGTGTTAATGGTTTCGTTAAGAATGCTGTGTATTGTGTACTTGTTACAACAAAATAAACTGAACATTGTGCAACAAATGCAGCCAAATCAATAAATAATGTTAAAAAACGTAACATCGGACGTGAATTACTTTTTGATAATGTTAATTTACAAAATGCTGGTATTGTACAAACAGCATTCATTAATAAAAGACCACGTATAACATCACAACTAGGTAAAACACGAAATACGAGTAAACAAACACCAAATGTATGAATACTCTCAAGAAGAAATATCTAAAGAGAATAAAAATATAAATATATATGAGAATGACCAGTCTGACCAGAAGACCCAACTTTTTTTTGTATCATGTAGCTTCTATAATACATCAGAGCATTATAATTTTTCTAACAGTTAAGTACTCGCATAATGCTGATGATCGGTCAAATCTAAGAGGTTTATACCTTGTTTGAAACCAAAATAATCAAAGTCTTCCAAAAATCTTTTGCTATTTACGAACAGAATTTTAAAATACTTTGATTATTTTGGTTTCAAACAAGGTATAAACCCCTTAGATTTGACCGATCATCAGCATTATGCGAGTACTATAATTGTTAGAAAAATTATAATGCTCTGATGTATTATAGAAGCTACATGATATAAGAAAAAGTTGGGTCTTCCGGCCAGACTGGTCATCCCTATATATATATATATATTAATGTCATTTTTATTTCAATTACTGTTATTAAATCTGTAAAAACTGGTCCACGTCGATTACGAAAAAGACTTTTTGCCAATGCTTCAAGAAAAAGAAATACATATGGAACACATATTGTAGCAACTAACATAAATGACCATCGACTTGCATATTGTTTTTCCTAATAATAAAAACACCCGATTCTTTTTTCTATATTATATAAATAATTAAAAAAATACACACTTGCAATCGATTTCCTAAACTTTGTGTCATTAGAAGAAATGAACCTTTACTTGCAACAGCAAACACCAATACACCAACAAAATAGACCATATAAGCAGCACATTTAAATAAACGTTTTGCATTACGCATACATAATGTTGTTTTTCCATATCGATCAGCTGGTGATTCCAAAATTCCATCACCATAAGGCATTGTTATAGATTTAGTCTTATAGAGTTACTACTGACGTAATGATGTACACAACGAAAAAAAAAAGAAGCTCATTGTGTGATTGAGCAAAGTAGAAAGAGAGAGAGAGAAAGAAGTAAAAGGTTTGTCGGATTAAAACTAGGTAACAAAAATTTGTTGTCTCTCTCTCTCTACGGCTCTATAATGTAACGAAAGAGGGAGAGAAACAATGTGTTCAGTAAAAAAGAATAGGAAACGTACAGCACGACGATAAAGACAACGACAATGATCAGATCCGTTTGTAAACAATCAAAAGAAGAAAAAGAAGAAAAAAAAACCGCTTGTATATGTAGTTTACCTCGACTTGATGATTGGGAGTAAAACACAATGCGAAAGAGAAAAAGATACTACTATTCACATTATGCAAACATAAAAACTCCTCCTCCGATCTATTAGAAAGGGGCGAGAACAAACTAATTAGACAATGTATAAAATAGGAACAACAAAAACGAAAAAAAGGCTATAAATGCTATTCAAATAAATGTCATTCTAGAAGATAATTCTTTTCTTTTTGTAGAAGAAAATGAAATTTAAAAATAAAATATAATTAATTTACTTCTTAATTATATTTAATTATAAAAAAAATATTCTTTAGTTTATCTTATCTGACATGTTAAATAATTCAAATTTAGATACTTTTTTTTTGCATAAATTTTAAATTCTAATTTCTTTTGTTAGTCATGTTAGATTATAATATAAATGTATGTCATTTATTGAATACAAGAAAAAGAAAGTTCTTTCTTCTTTATCTTCATTGACCTATTTATTTTTCAATGGCAACATGAACTTGATATTAGAAAAACTTTATCTTTCTATAATTGAAGGTATATTCAATATGGAAAGTAATGTAACTGTAAAGTATATTATCTTTTCATAGATAGACTATTTGCATGTTGTTATAATATTTTTTTTTTTGTATAAATGATAGATTCTATTTATAAACAATTGACACAATATTTTTTGTATTATTAGATACTTAGATATAATATCAGATTTGATTGTTTCGATATTAAAAACAATGAAACTAATGGTTTATTTTTTCTTATGTAGTAAAATTTATGCATGATTATATGAACATTGGTCAATACTTCAAAGTTCATGCGGAAATTATTGAAGACAATAGAACACAAAGAGGAGATGTATTAATAGTGATATTAATAATTATTGACAGAAATATTGAAAAGAAAAAAAAGAGTTATTAAATATGAGAAAGTTTTGTAGAATCCTTTAAAATTAAGGAAACTTTGTTGGTTTCTTTTTTCTTTTTAATAATCACTATTAATCTTCACAGGGAACACATATATTTATATAGAATGTTCTTCAACTCATTCATTTTTATTTATGATTAATACTAATCTGTAATATTTTATCTTCAATTTTCAGATAGATCATATATAAACAACAAAGAAGTTAAGTAAAAATAAAAGAAAAAACAAAGGGTTTGGTGTAAAATTTAGATACTTTTATAAATTATCATGAAATTTTCTTTTTCTTTAAGTTCTCGTCTCAATTGATTGTACGCAAATAAGCGTAATTTTTGTTTATAATAGAATGTCATTTCCATTCTGTATATATAGATAGATATTTCTTTTTTTCTCTTTTTCTTTCTTTTCTGAAAGTCATTCTTTATTTTCTATAACAAGTCGTTTGTTTTTTATCAACATCGTTTATTCTTTTCTTTTTTCTTTTTTTTTTATGTTGTTGTTGGTTTTTGTTTTTAACAAATTTTTTTACTCTTCAGATTATTTGTAACATAAACATAAATAGTATGAAACTTCGATTGATCTCATACGATCGATGTGATATATTTAAAGATTTGAACGCTTTGCTATTTCTATAAAATTAGCCAACAGAAATATGTTTCTTTTGAGAAAAAAATATAACACGAAAAATGACTAGCTAGTAAGTCAAGAAAGAGAAGGAAAAAAAGACGACTGTCTTTGACTTGTCTAGGCGTAAGACAGAAAGCATACTTGAGATAATGTCCTGTTGATGTAGTTCAACAAGCAAGTGACACTATCGACAACAGGCAGGCAGATGGGTTTATGAAACAACAGGAACGGATGAATAACTCAATTTTCTTTAATTGAATCATTGTGTCATGTTGGTGTGCTTGAATATAAGCACACACACAAAAAAAAAGCGATCAAATCGAATACCAAGCACATAGTGGAACTATTGACATAAATACATATGATGAGATATGTAGAGGAAAAGAAAAACAAGGAAAACATCAATCATCTTTCTAAATACGTTCTGTTTGCTCGATTGTTTTATTTGAAACAATAAATGTAGTCTTTCATGCAAATATAAATAAGTTCGTCCACATAGACAACTAATAAGGAAAATAATCATAATAATTATATATAGAAGTTTTGTGCTAGTTATTTTTTTTTATGTGCGCAACAACATTCATTCTTCGTTTTTTTTTAAGTGAATGCGCGTCCTAAACCTTGGCTAGAATGCGCATGCCTGCCTCTTTTTCTTCCACCCGACTACCGACAATAGGAATTCTCTATCGACCCTCCCACCCCGTTTGATGCACACGCACATATATCGACGAGCAAGAATAGTGCGGGAAGAACAAAAAACGTAGTATGATTATTCATTTTTCTTTTTTTCATTAGTTCTTCGAACTACTCGTCATCACATCAAGCGGGTGGGAAGACAGTTGAACGTGTTGGTCTTACTCACACATTTGTTATTATTACTATTATCATTATTATTATTATTATTATCATTATTGTTGTTATTACCACCGCTTATGGCATTATTTTTGATAGAAAGAAAATTTGTTATCTCTTTCTTTTCTATTAGACTCAGATCGAGAAAGTATTGAAATTGATCGGACGCGATAGTTCTTAGGTGAATAGTTTGCTTATTGAGATGAGATTTATTTTTCTTCTTTCTTTCTGTCTAGTACTATTTTGTTTCGTTATTTCTGCTTCTACTTTTATTTTATCTCTATTCATATATATTTATCTCTATAATATCTTTTTAGAACGATGTCAGATTTTGTATAGAACTTGATGCAAATTGTGCAAGGATAATAATGATGTTGAACATCATTCCATCGCACATATAATATTCTCTTTTGAAATGGTGCATCATTCTAATTGAATGCTTGCCTATTTCTGGCCAAAGCTCGATACACATGAAATACGTATACTCGATGATGCAAAGGTAAGTTTTGTTACTTTGATTTGAAAACTATTATTATTATTATTTGAAATAAAATACTAGTGAAGGTCTTTTTTTTGCGCCCGTGTATATATATATATTGTAACTGATTTTTAAAAATTGATTATCTTGAATATAAGTAATCGAACTAAAACCTATCAATAGGAAATATAATAGCTAAAGAAAAATACAAATAACAGGAAAGACTATTGCTCCTAGGTTTATATTTCCGAAAAACTTCCTGTTCTATGCTTTTAAACTGTATGTAAATATATTTGTTCTGCTCAAGAGTGACATCTGTGGAGAAATAAGTCCATATTCTCTAAAAATAACTGAATGATATTTAACTATTCTTATAATAGAAATGAATAATAATTAAAAAAATATTCTTTTGATGATTCAATTGCTTGAAATTCTTTGTTTGATTAGTTAATAAAATACTACGTGATGATTCATATAGTTCTGTCTATTTTTTTGCTTCTTATTACATAGTATTTTGATCAAAAAGATTTACTTTCTATCTTTTAAACACAAAAAAAAAGACAATTGATGAATTCTGCTAACAGTTTTACATCATTGCGTGCTGTAAGTATTTATTGATAAAGTAATTATTCATCCATAATTGACTACTTTGTTTTGCTAACTTTTTTTTTTTCATTGAAATGCTTCTTTAGTTGTCAAGTTAAAAGAAATGAATTCTTTGGTTGCATGTCACATCATTGAGTTCCTTTTTTTTTCTTTTTTCTTTTTTCTTTTTTTACCATCATTAGTATTATCTTCTTCTTTCTTTTCCTATCGTGCTAATGAGTAAATGTAACAAGCGCAAATCTCAGTTTGCTTCTTATGTACTCACACAAGAGAAACAAACACTCATTGTCAGGCATATACACTTGCCGTAGCTTTAAATTGACAAACTCTATCTTTTTTTTTCTTTTTTTTCTCCCTCCCTTTTCGTCTCTTGTTTCTTATAGTAACCGTTAGCGTTCTATTCCCGTGTATTGTAGCAGAAAACAGACGAGAACGACTAACAATACGCGAGAGTTCAAATCAAATACGTCGTGTACTACGCTATGTGAAGATGAGAGCAGGAAAAGAGCAGTGAAAGAAAAACGAAGAAAATCGATCAGCATAGAATCGAGAAGAGAAAACAATTTTGCCTCTTTTCTCTCCTCTCTTTAAACAATACATCCAACAACTATCGTTCATGGTTATTCTTATCGTCACGTCGATGAATCGTCATTTATTCAGTGAAGTTCTCAAACAAATATCATCAAAACTCGATCAATTAAAAGCTTTTCTTTCTTCTACCGCTCATCTCAAGGTAACAAAACAAAATAAAAAAGATCGAAAAATAAAGAAGCAGAAAATAATGATTTATCAAGAAAAAAAAGAAGAGAGATTTGCATTCAAAATATGTATCTAATTTGTTTACTCAAGGGGTAAAGACAGAAAGAAAGAAAGAAAGAAAGATGAAAAAAGAAAGCAGTATTCTTTTTCGAATCTGATTATTCTCCTAGAACAATCTCGACATGCTATATTCATATGCGTAGCAGTTAGCATAACTTATGCTCGTTTTCTTTTTATATATATATTTTTTTGTAATTCTGTTAAATCAAAAACATAAAAACAACGGATATGAAAGGTGATCGTGATAGAAAAATGAACGTTAGAATGAGAAAAATATATCCAATAAACTATAATTAGCTTGAACATTAAAGAAATAAATTTGAATAGAGAAGTAGATTATTACTATTTTCTTTTTTTTCTTATATATGTGAATATTGACAATAAGCAAAAAAAGAAAAAGAAATTGTCAAGTCAATATAATGTAATCGTATTAGACGTCTTCGTTCTCATGAGGTTGCTTGTAAAGAAAAGTTCGAGTCGCTATTTTTCTTCAGCACATACTCATGGGCAAGCACCAAATAAAACCAGTACGAAGAATAAAATAGAAATTAAATTTACATTTTATATGATAAATTTCGATTGAATTATTTTTCTTTTAATAATAATAGGTGGAGAATGTTCGTTTGATAGATCGTTTTAATACTCGTCAACATACAATTGGTAAAAAATGATCATAATTATTCTTTGTTTTTTTTTTCTTTCTCAACAATATTCTTTTTGTTATCAAAAGGCACAATCTATTTGACTTCAACACATCTTATTTTTATTGATCCAGAAGGCAAACGAGAGACTTGGGTAAAGTCAATAAAATTGAAACCACAAAAAAGAAAATAGTAATTTTTAAAAATTGTTTCTAGATTCTTCATTCTCTTATATCATCTGTTGATAAATTACCAACTACACAACATGGATGTCCATTACGTGTTCGAACAAAACATTTCCTTTCAGCAGAATTTACTATTCCAAAGGAACGTGATTGTGCTGATTTATATGCTACACTTAATCAATTAAAACCAGGTAATCAGAAAAAAAAGATATTTCATTTAAAAGTCATTGATATGACATTGGATGATCCTTTTTTTTTTAATTACTTTAGATTCTTATGAAAAACTTTATTGTTTTCTCTACCAAGCACCAAATTATCTCGAAAAAATTTGGGATCCATTTTTATTAGCTACAGAATATATGAGAATGGGTGTACCAAATGGAGATTGGAAAATCGAAGATGGAAATAGCAATTTTGATATGTGTGATACATATCCACCATTAATATATGTACCAACATTAACAACAAAAGCTATGTTATTTGGTAGTTCAAAATTTCGAAGTCGTGGTCGATTACCTGTTCTAACTTATTTACATCCCAATGGAGTAATAAAGAAACACGTTTATATAAATTAATTATTTATTTCATTAATAGGCATCAATAACTCGTTGTTCACAACCATTATCTGGTTTTAGTGCACGTTGTCAAGAAGATGAACAACTGCTTCAATGTATACTGAAAACTAATCCACATTCGAATACAATGTATATTATTGATACAAGACCTCGTGTAAGACGATAATTGAAAAAAAGAAGATTTAATATTATCTATTAGTGATGTCTTCAGAGAAAATTTGATTGATTTAAAAAAGAATTTATTTTTTCTTTCAGCTTCGAAATAATATGAAATTAGAGCCTATCAGACCAATTCAGAATAGAAATGTACGGAATCGGAACTAAATTAGATTTATCATGGCTATAACTAGAACCAACAATACTTAGTCGCGTACATGTTTAGTTCGGAAGAGACTTATGAAATGAAAATTTTATAAAATAGAATTTTGATTGTAAATTTCGAAATTATTTTTCGGCAAGAACAAAGATGCAAAAGGCAATTATTTGATGTTTAAAAACACATATGTTGTTTTTTTTAATGAAATATGTTATTGTTCTATCAGCATTGTGTGTGTGAAAATTGTTTTTTTTTTTTCTTGAATATTATTTCTTATCATATTCCAATCTTAGAATGATTGAATCTAATTTACGAAGAAATTTATAATAATATATTGCCCTTGAGAGCTCATGTTTTGCCCATAAGTATTACTAGAAAATGTCTATAAGGATTCGTGCCATTAGAATTTCTAATGAGACCTATGAGACTAACACTAAAATCTTGACTTTTAGCAAACTATTAGCAGAAAAATCAGATGAAAGAATCTAGATCTGAAACATTGTTTATAAATAGATCTTGTGAATCTTCAAATGCTCTAAAATCGTCTCTTTTTCCCCCAAAAGTCAATATCTAAACAAGGATGTATTTATTTTAGTTGAAACTTTTCGGAAATTGTAAGATCTATGAGACCTATTTATGAATAATATTTCAGGTTCAAATGCATTTATTTGATTTTTATATGAATAGCTTGTCACATGTAACAAATTTAGTAAAATAGTGACAACTCTCGAAGAGAGACCTAATGGCATGCATCCTTTTAGTCAATGCATAAGAATAATTAAGTGAAAAAGTAACATTTTTTATAGAATAACAATGAAACATTAATCGCTGATAAAAATCAAAATTAGAAGTTTTAATCAAATTCATAAACATTCTAATTTAGAAAAAAAATTAAGCAATTCAAAAGATTTAGCAAATCTGGTCACGAATCTGACAGTCTTCAGAAAAATTTAAAACTTTCAAGATAAATAAACTTGGAAAACTAGAACACAATTTATTACATATTCAAAGTTTCTAGATATTGTCTTCTAAGAAATACGGGACTCACGATGTTTTTTACCTCTATTTTTCCACGACACTATGCTTGATTGAGTTGATAATTTTTTACACATACTAGTCACTATTTGGGGATGGATGTTTTTTTTTAATTTTTTGTCTGTCAAATAAAAAGAGTCAAACCATCAAAAGCACTCTAAAAAACGAATGGTTTTCTCTTGTAAGAGTTATAGAATAATCAGCAGTACAATTTTTTTTTCTTCATATCCATCCTGAATAGTGTAAATTATGTATGAAAAAAACTGCAGTTCAATTGATTGCTATTAATTTGGATGTTTCTCGAATTTTTTAACATTTAAAGACAATTTTTAGATAACCCGTAGATAGGTCCTATTTCAGACTATACAATAGCTAAAAAGATTTTGAGTCACGAAAAGGAAGGAGATACTCTTCATTAGAGAACAGATTCTTGTGTCAAGAAATGTTTCCTCCGGAATTACTCTTCTGTCATCGGAAGTTTTTATCTATATATAAAAATTAAAAGTATATTCAATTCAATCATTCTCAACATAGAATAACTCTTATTATGTAATAAAAGATAAAAATTTGCTATCTTGGTTGTTTTTTTTTAACAATAGATCAATGCTGTAGCAAATCGTGCAGCAGGTAAAGGTTATGAAAATGAAGGTTATTATTCAAATATTCAATTTAAATTTTGTCCAATTGAAAATATTCATATTATGCGTACTAGTTTACAAAAATTACTTGAAAGTAATATTTAACAAAAATTCAATAGAAATTTAAATTAAAATATTTTTCTCTTCTTTTCTTCCAGCATGTGAAATGAAAAATCCAACAATGAATCAATATTTAAATGCTCTTGATAGTTCATCATGGTTACAACATATTAAATCTGTTTTAGATGCTGCTATATTTATTGCTCGAGTAAAAATCACAAAAAGCAAAATTTCAAAAAAAAAAAACATAATTTTTTTTTTATTCTTTAGGCTATTGAAGTTGAAAAGAAAAATGTTCTTGTTCATTGTTCTGATGGTTGGGATAGAACAGCACAATGTTGTTCATTATCAACACTTCTTCTTTGTCCATCTTATCGATCAATACATGGTTTTCGAGTAAAACTAAAAATATTTAAAAGAATATTTTGTTTAAAAAAATAAAATTATTTAGATGTTAATTGAAAAAGAATGGCTTTCATTTGGACATAAATTTTCTGATCGTTGTGGACATACAACAACAAGTGATAGTAAAGAACAATCACCAGTTTTTCTACAGGTTCATTTTATTTTCTTTTTGATATTTAAAAAAAAATGTTTTTGGTTTAGTTTATTGAATCTGTTTGGCAATTAAGTCAAATATATCCAACAGCATTTGAATTTAATGAACGTTTTCTTATATCATTACATGATCATTCACACTCATGTCAATATGGAAATTTTATTGGTAATTGTGAAAAAGATCGACTTGATTTATGGTTCGTTTTTATTATTAAAAAAAAATTCTTTTGCAAGAAAATTCTTTTTGTTTTTGTCATAATCTAGTGTTAAAGAACGAACATATTCATTTTGGAATTATATTTTACAAAATGTTAATGATTTTAAAAATCCATTATTTCGTCCACAATCATCATATGCAAGTGAAGTTCTTTTACCAATAATAAATCCGCAAACATTAAAGTATTATTATTATTATAAATTAACATAAATTTTTATTTTTATTTATTCATTTATTTAAGATTTTGGTTAAGTATGTATCATCGTTTTGATAGTGCATTATTACCAAAAGAAAATATTTCAAATACATTAACACGTCTTGTTGACCATACATTATCACTTAGTGATCATGCACGATTATTAGAAAAGGTTTAAAATTTCAAAGAGAAAACAAAAAAATAACTTAATAATGAAATTAATTTCTTTAGCGTATTCGTGAACTTCATTCAATACTTGATAATGATCGTACAACAATACCAACAACAACAAGTAGTAGTACAACAACAACAACGACAACATCAAATGAAGATGTGGATGATTCTGATATTGAAAAAAGCAATCATCATAAGAAAACATCTCTGCCCGAACTTGATAGTGGTTTAAGTGAAGCTGAATTAAGTCAAACACGTATAACAGATTCAATATCATTAAAATTAAATACAATACTTCAACCACCACCAACATTATCATCATCTGATGTTGAAAGTGGTTTTAGTGGCGATTATTCTCCACATGGTAAAACTCCACTATCACCATTCATACTTCAACATCAATCAAGTATTGATATAAATGATATACCAACAATAGAACGTATTGCACTTGAACTTAATTCAATAGCACTTGATTGGCGTTCATATCATACACCTGTTCATTGTGCTTGTTCATTACCATTTGATTCTGCACAACGAAAGGTATGAAAAACAACGAGAAAAAAAACTAAATATGATCTATTTTAAGTAAAACGGAACATATTGACCTATCATTTGACTCTTCAAAACGGTTATTTTTCTTAATCAGTTCTTTTAACATAGATACATGTAAAAACTATTCATTAAAACTATTAGCGCTATCCTTACAGGATTAGAATATGAAATGAGAGGAACATTGTTGTATTTTTCTACATTTTGTAACACATTTTTTCATTCTCTTTTTACTTAATTCACCAGAAATGCAATAAGAAAATAGTTGAGATCTTGTAATGAGCCGTTATGGACATACAATCTGTGATGGATCGTCAGATTATTCGTCATAGTCTACAGGAGATTGGATCCAAATTTCTATCTCATATATTTCAACAAGTCTTTCACATCGTGTTTCATAAAAAAAAGTAATTAGTGAATATCTGTCTAACTGTATGAACAAAAAATCCAAAAAGTTCAGAATCGATTATGCAGAACCAACCACACATGTAGTGAAATTTTCAGTAAGGCTGAACTCCGAAAATCTTCACTCCTATAAACCGATTATTTACAGACCCTGCGAAGTCCTGAAAAAAAAGGTTTTCTGCTACCATCATCTGACGATTCTGAAGAAAGTTTTTGGAATTCTCATTCGGTTCTAAAAGCATTTTTTTTTCGTACTCCACTATTTTGCTAACAAAATGTGAATCGATTTTTTTTGAAAAATCTAGACATGTTCAAGAAAAAACTTTGAATAGAGATTTAATAGCATCAAGAATGATCTACAGAATGTACTATTTAATTTTCAAAGAATCATATCTCAATTCGAAGTTTTTCTAAGCTAGAATATAGAAAAAGAAAGTCGAAGTCCTTTTTTTGTGTCATGTCGCTCACTCTAGCTTGTTTACTGATAATTCTTCTGAACAAAAGCCTCTAGCGCTGATTTTTTCAGAATATCTCGGATAACTTAAGATACACGTAACATATTAAACTAAGCTCTAGAGAAGTTTATTATCCTGAGATATATGTGTTTTAGTTTTGAGAAATTGTGTTACTAACGAATAATTTTATCGAAATATTTCTTTTATTTTAGTATAATTGTTGGAGATGTGGAGAAAATTTTTGTGCACGTTGTATTGAACATGGTATCCATTTACCTGGTTTATATAGTAATAGTTTAGCACCAGTTTGTAAAACATGTGCACTTTCAATAAAATCTTCTCCATCATTTGCTGATTTTTCAGCATTAGTTAAATCAAAATCAACAGAGTTTATACGTAATCAAACAGCTATGAAATTATCTCGATCAATGATTGATCAATTTAATAATGACCGGTGATTTGTATTTTTAACTTTGTTTGATTGTTTATTAATTTATTTATCAATTGCAAATTATTTAAGTCAGATTTACTAAAGACAAGGAAAAAAACCAAGAAAACAACAGACAGAAAACATAATTCATTCCTTCTATTATAAATATAAACATTCATTTTTTCATGTTTATGTGTTTTTTTTTCTCATGTTTAAAATGCACATATGACAAAAAATAAACAATATAGTATACTTGCTAAACCTATTTTTTCTTTGTTTTTATTTTTAGTGAAGATCTCTTGTGTTTTCTAAAAATATTTTTATAATTATGTCTATTTTTAAACATAATTGAATAATACTAACCCTTTGGTAATCCGACGATGCATGTATGCGTTATGAGTTTTATCATCACGTAAAACTAATATAATGCGTATTTTCTTTTTTTCGATATATTTGCGTACAAAACAAAACGTTCAACAATAGGAGATTTCAACATTTTTTTTACGGCTTATATTAGACTTCTGCACTAAGAAACGAAAGTGTACGTAGTGTAAAGTCATTCTATTTTTACGTATGTATATATTTTGTCCGTAATCAAAGGATTATATGCAATAAGAATAATAACATGAAACTTCTATTTCGATAGAAGTTTTTAATCTGAATAAATAAAACTAATACAAATGCGATGACTTCAATGTGTGGTTTCACGTGTGGAAACATTTTTTTATTAATAAAATATACAAAGTAAATTATAAATTACTATGAAATGGAAATGTTAAAAAAGCAATGGTTTTTTTGTATGACAGCGGAAAATTTTGTGTCTGAAGGACTCAATTATGCATTGTAAATATCGAACATGAGTACAAATGTTAAAAAAAAACCACCAGTTCGAAAATTTTGCACTATATATATCTCAATGTGATATCATTCATATACTTTGTTTTGATATTCTCTTGTTATTGTCTTATGTCAATACTGAATTTTACTTATTCACTATTTCATATTGAATGTTCATGTTGAAATTAAAGAGAGATAGATTTAAGCTCAATACCTGGTGACATGAAGTTTTCAGCAATTGAAATAGGAGAACGTCAGACGTCTTTTTGTTTGATACTATATAAGATAAAATTATTTAAAAAACCCATTATCTTTGAAAAAAAAAATACACGAAAATGGTGTTCTGCTTTCATGTAATTATTGATCTTGATATATGCTTGATATCTATTGTTCAAAGTATAATTCAGTTGATTATTTTTTCAAAGCTCAACGTTGATAGTATCTGACAGAGAGATATGTAAGTTTTCCTCTTTCAATTGCTGGAAATCTAATTATCTTATTTCACATCAGATTGAGTCAATAGTTCAACGCAGTTTTATAGTTATTTTTATGGTCAACCCTTGAAATATACGTGTGTAAACATATGGCTTCAAATTAATCTATCGTCCTACGATACTGATTTATGAATAATACAAATGTGATTATCTTCAATTATTACAAAAGTAGTTATTCATATGAAAACATCTGTACTTACATGTGTGAAATATAATAATCAAATTCTATCCATATATATTATTTCAATTTTATTACAATTTTGAATAATCTTTTAATTTATTAAAAACAAAACTCTTAGTTTCGAAATAAAAAAGATTCTATAACAAATCTAACATTTACAAAAGAAAACTTAAGATAGTTTTAAAAGGAGATGTCTCAAAACCTGTTGAACATCATTTGAACAAAACAGAATACTGATACCATTGAGACATAAAGATAAAGTAGCCTTTCTACTGAATATTCTATTAACAATATTTTTTCAACTTTATCGTTTTTGATATGTCACTTAACGGTTAGACTTTCCATTCTTATTTTACATAGAAATATAATCCAAACACAATATAAGATAAACATGAAAAAGAACGGAGATTTAACACGTAAAAAATATGATCAATGAATATGTATATTCATATAGACAGGATAGTCTTATTTCTAAGAAAACTATCATTAATACCGAAAAATGATTCGTCTCTCTCCGTTTCTGAAACCAAAGCATCATCGATCAGATAGACTACAGTCATAGATAGATAAGGATGCTCCCCAATCGATCGTAAATATTCATGGAGCGCATGTGACGCCATCTCACGATTCTATTCACGCTCAAAGGACGTCAAAAAAATGATTTTACACCTTTGAAATGTGCTCCACTAAGCAAGAAAAGAAAAGAGCCGTACGAAGCGTGTAAATGTGACCAAGAACGCGAGACAGCCTTGCCTATCTCTCTTTACAATGTAATATCAGAACATTAAAACATGATCGACATCAGTATCGGATATCTTTTTTGATTTCTCTGACCGTAAAAATACCATGAAGTTCACAAACTAAAATAATTGTATTCATATTGTAAAAACATTTCTATAGAATTTGCAGGGTTTTTTTTATTTCGTCACATACATATATGAAAAAACTGTATTATGGATATAGAATATATCCATATATACATGTGTACTAGTTGACTAAAAAACCTCGTGCTCTTAAAGAAAATCACATCATATTAAATTATTGAGAAATTATTTTGAAAAAAAAAGAACAAAAAAAATGAGAAAAAGATTTGGTTTGTTTATCAGATTATAAGAGGAAAAAAAGAGAAAGAAATCTAATTTTAGTTATTAATAAATGTCATTAACTTGAGATCGTGTAGGGCTATCATGAGAATCACATTTTTGTTGTATTCGATGATGAGAATGTTTTGAACCTGAACGTTTAAGTGGTATAATCGTTGGAGTTGCAGTTGATGAATCACAGCCTGTTGATAAGACTCGTTCTTGTCTGTTAGCTGGTATACTTGATGAACGTGATATATTTGTTAAATGATCCATATTTGAAGTTGATCGTCCACCACCTAATAAGTGTTGAATAGATGATGGAATATGTTCAGAAACATTATGATGAGAATGATGATCATGACTATGCGTATGACGTGATGGATTTGAATGATCACAATCAAGTAAAACACGTCTTAAGTGTTCACTTGGTGGTGGTAAATCTTCAATACGTTCAACAATACGTACATCACCACAACCACTATGCGATTTTGCATTATAACTTGAATATTCGTGTGGATTAACACGAAATACACCTTCTTCGATAACACGTCGAACTGTAAAAGCTTTTAATGGTTCATATTCAATAATAACATTACGTGTTGGTTTAATTGGTTCAGGTGGTGGAGCTTTTTGTAATAAAACAGGACGTTTTAATTTTTTATATGGTAACCATTTTTCAAATATAACTGTACGAGGTTTTGGTGGTGGAGTTGGTAAACGTTCTATGATAATTTGACGTGGTTGAGGTGGTGGAGGTGGTATATTTTTATCAATAATACAAGGTCTAATAGTATGAAAAAACAACAAGAATGATAGATAATAAGTAAAAACCTGTATTTCGTTTTCTTTTTTTTCCTTACTCGAGTGGTGGAGGTGGTGTTGGTGGACGTTCACGAATAGTTAATGGTGGTGGTGTACGTGCTTCTGGTTTTCGTTCACGAATAAGAAGTGGCTGTAAATAGAGAAAACAATAAGATTAATAAATTAGAGGAAAAACACTGAATAGAAGAAAAACAGTACAGATTGAGGTGGAGCAGGTGGTATACGTTTTTCACGAATAATAATTGGTGCTGGTGGTGGTGGCGTTGGTGGTTGTAAATAGCGAATACGAATTTCTTTTCGATAGACAACATTTTGTTTATTTGGTTTAACAACTTTAACAGGTGGACATTCTTGTGAATTAATTTCACGTAAATAATGTTCGGCTGTCAAGTTCGAATCATGGCAATGCGAACTAAAATGTAGAGGTGGTGAAGGAGGTAATCGTCGTGGTGAAAAAGCGTGTTCACTCATATCGCCTGGTGCTTGTGAAGTTGTATTTCGTGTATTAGATGTACCGCGGTTCAAAAGCGATGATAAAACTTGAGATGGTTGTGAGGATGACGGTGGTGGACCTAGCAGTTGGTTATTCGACGCTTGCGTTATTGGAGGAACTGGTTCTTTCTCGGCTGGAGGTGGTTGATTTGTGGAAGGTTGTGGCGGTGGTGGAGGTGGAGGTTGTTGTACGTATGAAAGTGATCGACCTGATGATAATAAGGTTTGTGATTGAGGTTCTAAGCGATATCGATTGTCCTGTGTTTGTTGTGAAGGATAACTAGCAAACGCTGATGTATGGTTTGATGTTGGTTCCTGTGGTGGATTATCTTCGGGTGTTGGACTATAGATATATTCACTCGGATTTAAGCCAACTTCTGCAAGAATTCGTTGAATTTGAGTACGATCTTTCACACAAGTTGTAGTGGCTTCTCTATCTGTATTGTCCTCGGCTTTGTTATAATCACGACTCCTAAAAAAAAATAACAAAGAAAAGACGATGAATAAATGAGCAAAGACATAATGTGTTATGTGGATGAGTGAACAGGGACAAAAAAATCCATAAGAGAGTCGATTTACAATCTTGTTTGCGATTTTCTGTGTATAACGAGAAGAAAAGACAAACGTTGACAATCAGAACGACGATAGACAAAATCAGTCTTGCGGAACTATATATGATAAAATGATGGCAAGGACAACTGTATATTAGACACCAGTGACGTTAGTTTTTTTCTTTAAAATAATAGTATAGAAATTTATTAGACTTTTTTTTCTGTTGATTCTTTTGAGAACAATTTTAGTTCTTTTAATGAGGAAAAATCTGAACGTTTCCTTTTTGTAAATGATTCAACAATATATTGTTTTATTTTATTGTAATAAATTAACGAATAAACAGAATTAAACAACCTTGCCGGAAACAAAAATCCTTGTACATAATTATGATATTGGTTGCTTGTCGTTTCAACTTACAGCAATTGTATATAGAGAAAAGAGGTGAAGGACTAAAAGGTTTCTAATAATCATCACGGTCTCTTTATCATGAAACAGTTAAGTATTGTAATACACTATAAAACAGAACACATTATATGTGTCAGGGGTGTATAGGTATTCTTTCAGTCAACATGATATGAAAATTCGACAATGGGTTTTTTTTTTTTTTTGTAGATATTGAATAATTGAAAGCTGTTCTCTACTAAATCAAGTCATTAGGACTCCTCTAATAAATGTATACTCCTAGACTAAAATCTTTTCGCTCTCCATCCATTATTCTTTGCGTATAAAACTTCTTTGGTCTCAGGTGAGTGCTAATTACAAGGATGTCTTAAGTACTTTATTTTAGTATTGTGTATGATTAATGGCAATTTACTGCAATGAAGAATATGCATCTTTCAATCTACTTAAGCAACACTACAAATGAATTGATTGACAAAATCTTTCTTGACTAGATTATTTCTTTTTTGTTTTGTATCTGCTAACTATTTTTACTGGTTTGAATAATTAAATTCTTTTCATTACCGATTCAAAGCTCTCCTAAGAATGCAATTGTTCAATTACTACAAATATAGATAAAACAAAACAACTAATACTTTCATAAAATATCCAAATAAGAGATACCTTAGCCATGAACTGCTCTATCAACCAACTTAAATATAGTGTTGTCCGATTATATTCAATGACGTACATTCTTCCTGAAAGTATGTCGTAATCAATCATAAACTACACTAAAATAGTATTTAAGTCATTCTTGTAACCAACATTCACTTGAGACCAATTGGTTCGACACGAAAAAAAAATGAAGAAGAAGGAGGAAAGACTTCTGCCTAGGGGTATATATATATATATATATATCAAAGCTATAGACGTCGAATCAACGGATATTACATTCCTTTAATAATGTTCTTTTTTTAATTTCAATGAGTTCTTGAAGTATTAATAAATCATCGTTCTGACAGAACTAAGAAAATATTTAAAAACCGAATATTCACAAAAGACATTGGTTGACATCTTCAATGAGAATTCTTCTTAACTTACGTCGCCATATTTTTTTGACAATGGTGTAAACTGATTGTTAATATCAAATAAGAATAGTTCGATCAGAGTATAACGTTTTTCGTCGTATACTACTGTTCGTATATCAAAGACAGCAAAATCATAGTTCAAGTACACTTTTATGTTCATACAGATTCTCTCCTTCATATATAGTACTTTTCTTTGGCAAAAAAAGGACAAATCACCCGGGTAAGGCATCGATGCATGACCGGTAACATTATCCCACAGCGTTCAATCTAGAGAACGAATGGGTGTAAAATATAAAAAAAATTGCACCACTATTTTTTTTTTATTCATATCAATCAATATGAATATCATCATCCTTATTTTTTTTTTCGTTTATCGATTGCACTGTACACTGAAATTTAACCTTCGTGCCTGATTCGAAAATTTATTGCGTCAGTTTATCATTTTTTTTTCAAGAATATCATCAGTATATAATTCATCTAGACTAATACTCATAGATATTTATTCAAAAAAAAAATAGTGCAAAGTTTTTCTTTTTTTGATTACATTTCTGCTTCAGTCCATTCACGAACGACATACCATTGATCATCGTCGTTATCTATTGGACGCACTTGTTCTTGCCATTTAGTAATAATTCGATTACCTAATGGAATTTTAACTATAGCGTATTTTGCTGAAAACCATTGTAATTCTTCTTCAGATTGCGGAGCTCGTTCAATTTTATACATAAGTGGATACGATGTTTGACTAACCAAAACTCTTCGCCATTCAGATAATATTAATCGTCGTTGAGTTTCTAAGGACATTATTGGTTTACTTTGTATTTTCAAATTGATACTTGTCTTTTTTGATCGACAACTAACTTATTTGGAACAAATTGTAGGTTTTATTTTACTTCTTTTTTTATTTCGAAGATAAATAGACTGGCTTGAATAGAAAAAGAATAGTATTTTGGCATGTCACTGTTGAAATAAGGAAAAAAAAATGAAAATTTGCTGAAGTAAAATGTCAAGAGGTTATTTACAAGCAGTAATATAAAATTTATTGAGAATATTTATTAAATAAAATGATATGTGACAATATATAAATGTTAATTGTTTTCACTTGAATTGACCGACAATTTATGTGTTTCATTTATAATAATCATCCATTGAATTAATCTTTTTCCTTTTCTTTTGTCTAATTGTATAATTGAAAACCGATATTTACAACAAATATTTGATTGACACAAACTTTTTTATGTGTCAACCAAAGATATAATAAATGTTGACAAATTAATCACGAAAGGAAAGGATAAGATCTCCATGACCCAAAACTATAGAAGTATCCGAGTGCGAAGTTCGTATTTTATATCAAGGAAAAATACTCATGTTGTGTAATGCGAGAGAAAAATAAATGATTCATAAAAAATATTCTTTTTTTATCGTATGCATAAAAAGAAACAATAATAATAATAATAATAGTGATAAAATTATTAATAATTAATAATATGTTATCAAATATAGACGTGTAAAATTAATGAGAAAAGAACTTATGTTAATTGAAAAATATTTCCGACTTTGAATTCTTTTGTTTTTTGTCATATGCATTAGGCTATAATAAACTCCAGTGTTTATTATTAATAAATATATATATATATATATAACAAGAAACAATAAGTAAAAGAACAAGTAATTTCCTATGAATGTGTCATTCTTCATATATGTCTAAATATTCTTAGAATTCAATGTTAAGTTGTACTTAAACAAAACAAGGAAACTCTTTATCTTGTGGGATACTTCTATGTAAAATGATACTCTGATCTTGCACATTATTTATAACTCTTGTATATTTGTATGACATAATGTATTCTTTATTTGGAATAGATATGCTCAATTGAATTTTGTAGAATAATAAAATATTTATATTCAAATCAATCAAAATAAAATACGAGTAGATCATATCATGCAAATAATAAGTAACAGATATATACAAATATTTTCGTTTCTAATGAGTTATCTAAAAATAACTAGTAGTAGTACAGAAAGCAGTGTTATATTTAGTAAACAGATCAATTAAATTGTTTTTAGTCATCATATTGATTGATTTGATCTCGTTGTGTTACATCATTGAAACTAGAACCAGTTATCTTTCGAATCATCTTTCTAAACTCTTCAATGAGTTGTTGGAGATATCTACGAATATCTTCAATATATTTATAATCACCATTATATTCATCAGCAGTTTCTGAAAAATCATCATCACCAAATGCAGTTGTTGTTGTTATTGTTCGAATTGATGATGTTCGTTGAGTCTAAGTAATAAATAGAATAATAGTAAAATAACAACCTATGAAATATTTTATCTTTTTTAAATACTTACTGGTATCGGTCGTCGTGATGGTATTAAATCTGTACCTCGTGATGGAAATACTGGAATTGAACGGATAGTTGTTTTTGTTGTCCTTGTAGTTGTTGTAGGTTCATCCTCATCTTCATCGCTGCTAATATTATCGTCAACATCTATATGAGGTTTATCTTCATGGTCGGCATCATCATCATCATGATAGTCAGGTAAAATAAGTACACGTGATGTTGATGATGGCTATTATTTTTAAGAAATAAAATTATTAAAAATAGAAAAAGAATTTTTCACTAAATTTTACCGTTGGTGCTGTTCGAGCTACACAAACAAGTGCCAAAAAAGCGAAGAGAAGTAAAAGTTTCATGATAGTATTCTTATTATTCTGTCTGCTAGGAAGACGTTTTTTCTAGACCTATTTATATTCATCCACAGGACGAGTCGATATCGCCTGTGTGTAATTTTTTTATTCGTTGTATATGACGATGAGAATTATCAAGAACAAGGATGATACATGATGACTGGTTTGTTTTTTTCTTTTCCTAAGAATCATAGAATATCTTCCTGCGTAGTAACATCAAAAGACAACTTAATCATTGTAAACAAGAAGATAGGAAAAAGAAGGGCAAAAAAAAAGAAGAAGCATTATCGACATGTTCTGCTAGGAGGCATTATTAATGTTATTTGTATTCTTCAATAAACATAATACCACTTTTTACTTTCTTGATAAGGATTCTTATAATTAAAATAACAAGATAGTTCTTTTTTTTTTATTTCTCTACTCGAACAATTGATCATGAATACATTATTCTTATTATAGCATTCATTGAGAGTATATTTTTGGCGTTGTTTGTCAAATTGTAAACATACACACATAGATTATTTACATATACAAACGCACACACACACAAACTCATATGAAAAAATTTCATATATATAACACGATTGTGAGTATAAAGAAGAGTAAGAAGTAAATATCCCATGTAAGATAGATTCAAGTGAAATACAGATAAGAGAAAGAAAAAAAAACAATCAAGATTCCTTTTGTTTGTTTTTTTCTACAAAAATGAAATTAATACACACACACTCATAAGTCGAGAATAAAAAACAAGAGAGAGAGAGAGATATGAAGAAGACACTGTTGATGCAAAATAATAAACAAAAATAAGTTGCGTCATGGATTCGTGAAGTGAATAAGAGAGAAAGAGATCAAGAATTCGTCTGACAGAAAAAAAAACAAGTCATGATAGATATATATAAAACAAAACAAAACAAAACAAAAAAAGAAAAAAAGAATTCAATTTGAATAATGTTTAAACAGTGCCGATGCATTTGGATCGGTAAAAAGTGGTGGTGGTGGTGCACTACCTGTTGCTGCTGCTGCCATCATTGCATATTGTAAATCTCGTTCACGTGCATGTTGTTCAAGTATAAAACGATAACGATCAGATTCAAGATGATTGTTTGGTAAAGGAAGTCCTGAGGGTAATAAAGGCGATCGAGTAAAATCAATTGGTAAATGAAATAATGATGATTTTGGTGAATCACTGTTTATACCACTACGACGAGATGATGATGATGAAGGTATAGGTGGTGGTATGGGTGGTGCACCCATTGGAAAAAATGTTGATAAAAATGGTGATGGTGCTGGCGGCGGCGGTGCGCCAACAAATGGTGGTAAAAAATCTGCGGTTGATGTTAAAAAACGTTTTCGATCATCATTTAAAGGAAACGTTGGCAATTGATGTTGTGGAGGTGGTGGTGGCGGCGGTAATAATAATGACGGAAAATCCATCTATTAAAAAAATTAAATGAAGTTTAAATAATTAATTGAAATTCTTTTTTTTTTCTTTTACCTTCATTCGATGTGACGGTGATGATGGAAGAAAATTCGATGTTGATGTCGGTCTTGATAATGGTGATGGTGATGTATGTCGAATACGTTCATCCATAAATGGTATTTTTTGTTCACGTTTTATAGTTGGTGTTTTAATTGATGATGTTGGTGTTACTGTTGGTCGTGGTAATCTTGTTGTTGATGTTGATCGTAATAGAGAATTTTGTTGTGAATTATTTATATCAAAAGGAAATGGAAATGGAAATGTTGGTGGCGGTAGTGGTGGTGGTGGACGTAGTAATGATAAATCATTATTATTATCATTTAATGGTAATGGTGGTGGTAGAAGTGTTGATTGTGATAATGATGGTCGAGTTTTATTTGTTTGATTTAGAAGATTTAATTTATCACGTTGTCGTTGTTCATGATTAAATATCATCCATGCAATATGTATATGTGCTGTTGACCATTTACCATTTGATGGTTTTCTTAATTGTATTGATGATGTTTGATTTGAATCTTTTTTATTATTAATAACAGAAAGAAAACCTTGTTGTTGCTGTTGTTGTTGTTGTTGTTGTTGTTGTTGTTGCTGCTGCTGTTGTGGTGAATGTTTAATAACGGGTGATGTTTTATCAATAAACATATCTGTAACAGAAAAACTTGTTTTCATCTTCTTATTTTCATTTGATAATGGTGTTTTCGATCTTGGTGACAATTGTCGATCATCTTTTGTTGTGATATTTAATTTATGTTCATGTGTATGATTATGATTATGTTGATGCTAAAAAAAACAGCAAAAATAAAATGAAACAAAAGCTCATTTTTTTAAAAAGTTTAACCTGATGAAATTCTGTAACAATAACAGGTGCTAGATAGAGTGGATGAGTTGATGGTGTTGTTGTTGAATTTGGTATATCAGTATTTGATGTTGATGAACTATGACGACGATGATGATGATGATGACTATCTATAGGTGATGTACTTGAATGATTAGATGATAATTTTGTATTTGTATCAAATAATGGTGATTTAGTTGATGATTGTTTAGGTGTTGTTGATAAATATTGTCTTTGTAATGCTTCACGATGTGACCATAATGAATGATCAGGACCATTTGGTGATGTACCATGCATTTTAACATTTAATGATGATACAGGTGAATTACTATTTGTTGATGCAGCAGCAGCTGCTGATGCAGCAGCAGCTAAATAGCTTGGTAATACACCTGGATAATATTTTTCAAGCATTTTTTCCATTGATGCATCAGATGTATTGTCTTTATAAGAGAATGGATGTTGTATAGAACGTGATGGTGGTCGTGGTGGTGGTGGTGGAGGTGGCATTAGAAGATCACGTGGATATTGACCACTATAAAGACGACTAGCTAACATTAATGATTGATCATATGAACCAGGAAATGGTGGTTGATGATGTGGTTGTGGTGGAGGAGCAAATGGTGAAAATGAAGGCATAGGAAATAATTTTGGATCAAAATGTGGTGGAAAATTTAATGATTGGGGCATTGGAATTGGTTCATGTTTGATATGTTGTTTAGCTAAATCGGACATGGATGTGATTGTCGGATGTTTATTACTACTAGAAAAACAAAAGAAATAATTGAAATAAATATTTAAAATAAGTTGATTTTTGTTTTACCTATCACCATTAATACTAAGATCATGTTTAGTTTTATGTCGTTTATGTGATTTATGATGGTGATGATGATGATGATGATGTTTCTTTTCATTAGATTCAATTTTAATATCATCTTTTGATTTTTGTGATGATGATGATGTTATAGAATTTTGATTATGTTCATTATTCAAATGATTTTCTTCATGTTCCGATGTTGAACGATTTATTTCATCTATTGGTTCAGTTTTAACTATTGTTGTTGTCGTTGTCGTTGCTGTGGTTGTTGTTGATGGACGATCATTAGAATTTTTATTTGGTGAGGTATTCTGCCACATTAATGATTGATGACTAAAATAATGTTTTATTTTATTTTTTTTTTAGAAAACAAATTTTATTATTTATGTTAAGAAACAAAAAAAAAAATATTTAATTAGTCAATAAACTTTAAATAGATAAATCTTCTTCTATCCTACTGACAATTATTTATATAAGATGACAGACTTATTAGTCATGAGACTTGACATGAAGAACTGTCTACCTAAAGAATGCAAAATGACTTCAGGCTTCTTTTTTTTTAATAACCTAAGGATGACATTGAATATCGACCTGTTATTCAGTGATTCGCAATGAATGACTATGCAAAAGAAAAAATTATAAAACTAAATTTTACTTAATAAAATAGAAGAAAAAAAAAACAGAACATCATTGATTAAGTCTAGATTAACAGAAGACTATTATTTAAATCTTATTGACATGAATGGATTAAAATAAACTTAAAAAAATATTTTGCTAAGCAATAGTTAATCTGATAATGTCATAACTTCAATAAAAAGAAAAAACAAGCATAGCAGCATGTGTTTATTTGTTTTACATTTAATGACAAAAATATTTCATTTCATTTGTTTTCATATTCCGTAAAATCAACATTGGAAAAAAACCCATAAATAGATAATCTGAATTCTATTATATAATAATATAAATTAACATACTTTTCTATGGACGTATCCTCAACTGCAGTGGATGTAGAATTATTTGATATTCTATGTCCATCTTCAATTTTACATGGTACACTTGTTGATCGTTGTAATGATTGTCCATCTGAATGATCTATAATATTTCCATTTTTCTTTCCTGATAATGAATAAGCTTTTTTAGTTGTATATGTACGTTGTAAATGTTGTTGATTAAGATGTTCAAATGCAATACGCCAATCATCATCAGTTTCAAATGATAAAAAAGCAAAACTATCCAAAACATCGTATTTTCCTGTTTTTGTCTTATTAATTATTGTTTGTAATTGTTCTTGTGCTAGATAACTACGAGTTTTTTGAATTTCTTGTTCATTTAAATTTGAATTTTTAATTGATAAATGTGATGAATGACTTGATGATGATGATGAACGACTTGATGATGTTGAATGATCACTTGATGAACGGGTACTGTTTGTTTGACGTCGTCGTTTATGACGACGTGTTGTACCATTTGTTGTTGTTGTTGTTTGTTTTGTTGAACGAGATGATTTTGTCATTGTGGTTGTTGATGCTGTTGATGATGATGGTTTTAAATCATCATTTGTTATTGAATGTTCTTGTTCTAATGGTTCTTCCATTATATTGTCATGATTAGAAATAAAAAAAGAGTATTTATTAAGGATAACGATCACCTTGATCACTTGAACAAGTTCACATGATCTAAAGGAAAACAAAATAGAAACCTTTTTTCTTTTTCAAGAGAATAATAATACATGAAGTGTAGGAGTGGTTGAGAGAGGGAGAAGAGGGCAAGGAAACAGACTTATTGAAATATTGCCATTAATGTCTGTTGTGAAACTCTAATAAAATTTATTTGATAATTGATTGAATAAATTTATGTTTTTTATTAAATAGAAAATAAACATTAAAAGATAATTTTTATTAAGTCTATATAAATAAAATATGATATTTTTTATCTTGAAAGTGACATCTATCTTTTAAGTTTATTTGATTTATTCATTCATAATAAATAAATAGATAGATTATTAACTTCGACTATCGAAAGGCCACCTTTTGTTCTGTTTATTAGAAAAGTGCTATTCTCAATTGATAAAATCAATCATGATATAAAATGTCATTACCTTGCATGTTACACTCGATTTTTTCTATTTATTCAAGCGTAACATTTGATTTCTTAAAAGAAAAAAAAAGAAATTTTACACTACTTTAGATTTTTGTGTTGTTTTTCTTTTTTTGGTTATTTACAATAACTTAAAACAAAACGGAAAAAAATAATGTTAAATCGCCTTATTCTATTAATTATATTTTCTTCATCATTATGGTTCGTTGTTAATTGTGGTGATGAATTTGAAGATTATCGATGTAGATGTGTTTGTCCATCATTGACTGTTTTACAAGATCCAACAGTAAATGAAACCAATCGTCGTGTTTATGTTGATGTTGTTGCACCGGATAATTGTACATGTGAACGTGTTGTTTTTCGTACAATGAAAGTGTCACCTAGTTTTCAACAACGTTTTTGTCCAAGGTAAAAATAATAAAACTTTCTTTTATAAAAAAATCAAACCTAATTAAATAAACTATTTCTTTGTTTTTCTTTTATTTCTAAAGATGTGTTTGTAACTATGAAGTACGCAATACAACTACGATGAAAGTAAGTTTTCAACAAAAAAAAATAATGTTGAATAATTTAGTTTTCATTATTTCTAGGTCGTTGTTATTATAATAATGGTTGCTATATCATTATTATTTATTTATATGTCATTTTTACTTTGTCTTGATCCATTGATGAATCAAAATACAAAAACATCTACTACAGTACGACAACCAAAGCAATATCAAAGACAAGTTAATGAAGAAGTTAATCTATCAAATCCGACACAAGAATGTGTATTTAGTGAGCCAGCTGCAACTGGTTTACCAATTAATCCACAACGTTCATCAACTGTTTTAAATTTAGTTACACATGAACAATCAAAATGGAGAAAACAAGTATGAATTTCTTTTCGTCTTTTTTTTGGTTTTCAGTTTATCTTAATGAAAATTTTTTCCTTTTTAGGTACAACAACAACGACAATCAGTCTATAATAAACATGAAATACTTAATTAGTCATTCCATTGATGTTATCAACAGAAATAAAATCAAAATATGTACATAAATTGACAATTCTGATTTCCGTATGTTTATGAATCCATTGTTAGTGTTGTCTTTTTATATATGCATGATTTTTAATTCTCTATATTTTGTTTCTTCGTACCTATTGATATCTTTTTTTTTTGTTGGAGAAAAAAAAAATAACAACAAAGCATTTACTTAAGCAAATCAGTTGTCATGAGTATATATATATATATTGATAACAGTCATAAGAGTGTAATTTTCTTTTTTTTTTTGGCTTTTTAAAATCTTGATAAAAATAAATGGATAGATATTAATTGTTTAACTGAATGATTCATAATTGATGTTTAACAACAAAAACAAATGATTTTACAATGCTATTAAATTTTAATGCAATAATTAAATAATTTAAGAAGTTGTGGTAAGAGCAGTTCAGATCCAGATTTGAAAATATTGCAAGCAAAGAACTCTTGTCACTGAATATAAAAAACGGAAGAAACTATTTCATATATTTAGGACGATTATCCAATATCGATTAGAAAATTTCATTGAGAGTATCAATGTACGATTCAATTGTATCCAAAATAGTTGAACCCAACCGGTTATAGTCATGGCAACAAACAACCCATGACTCATTTTTAATAAACTTCCGATTATGGTCTTCCGGACTTTGTTTTGAATCACGAAATCAGTTATTTACTCTTTATATATTTTTTCAAAATTCAGTATATTTGACGTATTACGAAGCTAACGGTCAATTGTTGGATCCTTCTCACTCATTTTCAAATTGAGCGCAGGAGAGGCTCAAGGCAGCAAACTTTGAAGGAAGGATGTAAAGATCTTTTTTTTTTTCTAAGAGAATGCACGGAAAATTTCGATTCCGTTGGGAAAAAACAAAATTTTTTTTTTTGATTACAGGAGTATCATACCCTCTTGGTCGGAATTATTTCGTGATTGAGTGCTATCTGTGACATTGCTTTACGCTATTTTTTAACAAAATTAATATTTTCATAAAAAATGTTTTTTTGTTTTCAAACTTAATCAAAATATGAAAGGATTATTTAAATCTTATTATGATTTAATTTCGAAATAAATTCCTTATAAAATCAACATGAAATTATGAGGTATCTTTTGTTTTTATTGTCATCTCCTAAAAGAAAGAGAAAAAAGGGAAAATATTTACAATAAAATACATAATAAAAATACATGATGGAACGTTCATCATGATCAAGGTGAACTAAACAAAACAGAATACTTCATATAAATAATTATGTACATAATATATATGAAAGGCAATCATATATTTGATTGTAATCATATACTGCTATGATTGACTTTAGTGTTCAGAAAAAAATAAAATAGAAAACAAAACAAAAAAAAATAGAAACGATTTCATGATGGTGCACAATCAAATGAATAAATATGTCGAGCACGTCTTGAAACTTCATCATCATCATCATCATCATCATCGTCATCATCATCATCATTATCTTCATTCGTTCGTTCGCCATCGGCATTCTTAAAGAAAAAAAAAAAACATGGAAATTTTTTTTTTTGTTAATTTTAACTAAGAAAAAAAGTTTATACAGCTCGTCGAACAATTCTTCGAAATACTGGACGCATTAAACGTAATAAACCACTTGTATCTGTATCAAGTACACTAGCAAAATGAAGTTCATGTTCACGTTCACGAGCATTTCGTTTCATTAACTATTAAAATAAAAAATTAAAATTGAATATTTTCTTTTCTAAATCTTCTCGTACTATTTTAAGTCGTTTAAAATCGATTGATTCTTGACTAAGTGGTGCCCATATTTTAATATCATGTTCAAGACCACTTGTTGCAATTATTGGAAAATGTGGATGAGGTTCAAGAACATTTACTGTACCATCATCATCACCTTTATCATACCAAATACATTTTTCAGAATTTTTATCCCAAATAAATACATGACCACAATCACTTCCACTAATCACATATTCAGAATTACGACCATAAAAATTAACACCTTTTACTAAATTAAAGAAGAAAAAAAATCTAATATGAATTTCTAAGAAATTATTGACGAACCTGTATTACTATTTCGATGACCACGATAACGATGAATAGCATCTGCACCATCCGAATGTGTTGCATCGAATAAATAAATATCTTCATCATTATAAGAACCAAGGATTTCTATAAACAAAAAAAAAATCAAACAATAACATATTTTTGCATTAACAAACAAATCAATATTTTATTGTTGTGCAATATGAAATCTCGAAAAAAGCTAACAATATAATAAGGGATTCTCCTTCTCCTGTTATGAACTTTTTTGGATAGTAGATGGACATATGACTTTCTTGTTGCTGCTCAGAAATGAATGGATATCATGCACACAAGTTTTTTTTTTCAAGAAAAACTTTTTCGACAAAAAATGCTTGAGAAGGATTCTTGTGTTTATTTTTTCGAGAAAATATACTGTTTTTCTCAATTAAATATTTTTCAAAGTCAGAAAAACTAAAAAAAAACCCACTGTGTAGTAACAGTAGATAGAAGAATATTCTGGCAAAACTTTAGAGGATGGATCACTCATTTTACGAGACTAGCCATTCGGACGACACTGTAGAAAATAAATATTTTTGACAATTGTATAGAACTTGACTTAAAGATTGAGAATATGTATTTGACTCGTTTGTCAAAGAGTTTATAGCTTTTGTCAGTAATGAATTTTCTTAGAGACATCTCGATTTTCAGCCAACTGTTTTTTCACTTTTCTAGAGGATTGTAACAATTTTATTGATATCATCATATAGACTACATTTCGAAGTATATTCTCCTATATTTAGCTCTTGAAAAAATACGATTTGTACTTTTAACCAAATCTGACAAAGAGGAAAGCTTCAACATTAAACATTTTCAAAGAAGTTCTTGAAACATTACTATCGAGCAATAGTATTTTTTTATTTTCTATTAATTGCTTTTTTATAAATCACGAGGAAAATGGAGGAACATATTTAATGTTAATTTTTTGTAGCGTATAGAACGCTCCTTTCAATGATTTATTAGAAGTTAAATTTACTCTTAGTTTTGCACACCAAAATATAGTTTTTTCTAAAAAAAAAGACTGAGTAAATTGGTGGTTCTTACTATCTAACTGTTTTGCAACGGTAAAAAAATGCTTTTTGAATGATTTCCTGTGCTGAATTCCTATAACCTGAAATATTTTGAATAAATATCATAAAAAGAATTCAATTTATGCATAATTTCTGCAGACTTTTTTGATTAAAGAATCAAGGACAGATTTACTTAAGTTTATCCTAGCTGAGATCAATAAAATTTTCGATATATTTTTCTTCGAATTTGATCTGTTCATGTATCTCAAAATAATTCAGCTGTACAGACTTTTGAAGTCGTAAAAACTTTCCTTAGAAATGTTTAGTTTTGAACTTTTCTTCATCTTTAATTTGGTTCTAGAAAAATTTCTTAATTTAGAAATCATCTATAAATTGTATTAAAATCTTAGACAAATAAAAATCAATAAAAAAAAATTGTATAAACTAAAAGATCCTTTCTTTTTTTTTATTTTGATCTGAACTTGTAAAAACAAATAAAATTTTAATTAAAAACATTCGAGAATTCTACTATTTCCTAGAACTAACTAGACTTGAACGTAATTTAATATAAATGTATAAAATTAATTCTTTATCTTCATCTGTTAAAAACTCTGTTTAACTTCTCCTGACGTAGGCGTCTTGTGTTTGAGTTCATACTTTACTTGTTGATAGAATCCATTGTGTAGATCAAAGTTATTAAAAGGATATGTGTTATTAATGTTTTTCGTTTTCTGAAGTGATAATTATTTTAAGCCATTTACATAATACTACGACAAAAGTAAACCGGAATTTCATTACTTGATTTTTGACAACTTGTTCAATTTTCTGTCGAACTTTTGACGATAGAAAAATTGTTTGAATTCCGGTAGGAAATTCGACAAATTATGGAAAATATAGAGTTTTACTGATATTCTCGCTTCATTTCACTATGGTAAATCCAAATTTCAACAATCCTCTCTTTTTTTTTACTTCGAAGATTCCAACAAGAGTTGAACAAAGTGCCAAAACTCGGTTGATAAAATTCCATACAACTGCAAATAGCACATATCCTTTTCATACTTTTATCTGCGCAATCGACGCTAAACAATCTATCGAACGAAAAGTATTCGTCGGAAAGGCTTCCTCATCAGTCTCAGCAAGATTGACATTGAAAATATATAAATACCCGACGATTCATTAAAACTTAAACAGTAAAAGACATGTTTGTTTTTACTAATTCAAAGATATAAACGAATGATTTTGAACATCTGTTTTTCTTTTCCTTTTTGTCTCAAGTACTACTAACCAGTGCCATTATAATTATAAACAGCACATGTAACTGATGGTTGTCTTTGACGGTCTTCAATTTTCTTCTAGAATACGAGAAAAAATTTTTCATTTTTACATTCTTTTGTTTTGTTTTAAACTAACGTACTAATAAATCTGGACAAAAACTTTTTAATGGTTTTGTTGTATTTGTTTCAATATATCGTCGATCAAATACACGTATATATGGATCCATAGCAGCAACAACAAATTCATTTTGATTATTGCGATTAAGTTCAATTGAATAAAGAGGTAAATGATTAATTGTATCACTGCTTATTGTTAATAATCTAATTATCAAAAATTAAATAAACAATTTCCAAAAACAAAAGAAAATATAATACTTATTCGATTTATTTTCACGAAGATCAATGTGATAAATAATACCATCTTCACCACATGAAAATATATCAGTACCTGTTATTGTATCAATTGAAAGCTAAATTAAACAAAAGAATTTTCTTTCATATTAATTTATTTATTTATTTTAATTACTTTATGAGCCGATGCTAAATGTTGAGCAATTTTTTTTGTACGCCATAATGAACCATCCGGATGAAGTTCAGCTAAACGTACTTGACCATCTCGTGCACAACTTACAATTTTACAATCATCTGAAAATGGTATAAATTTTGCCTAAGAAAGAAAAAAAACGAAAAATTTAATTTTTTGTGTAAAATTAGAAAAAAAGCTTTTTGGTTTTTACTTGAAAAACATTACTATGATGGTCACTTTCATAGGCAACAGCTGCTTGATTTGATGCCCAGTCCCATAAAATAATTTGTAAGTCATCTGAAGCACTTGCTAATAATGTTCCTAGAAAAATGAATTTTAAATGAAATAAATTTGAAAACCAAAATCAACAAAATTCATTACCAGTTCTATTGAATGCTAAAGCATTAACACAACCATTATGTGCATCAAGTGTATGTGAGACTTTCATTCGTTGAACAAGATTTCGACTAGCTATGATATTATTATGAAAAGCTCGACATGTTGCACGATCTTTTGGTCGATTAAATATACCAAGTTGACGTTGTCGTAAATGTAAATAAATATTTGTTGTTGGTGGTAAATTATTTTGTTCATTAACATTACTTTCAGTATCGTCATCATCATCATCATCTTCATTTTTTGTTTCAGTATCATCATCATCTTCATCAGTTGTTGTTGTTGTTGTTGTTGTTGAAGATTCATCTTTTGATTCGCTATTTGTTGTTGTTGTTTGAACAGAATCATTTGTTTTTTCATCTTGATCAATAAGTTCTTCAATATCAACATTTAATTTACGTCGTTTTATTGGACCAGTATTATTTGTTGTTTTTTTATTATCTAATATTTCATGATTTTCAATAGGTGTTGTTGTTATTTCATGAACAGTTTCATTTGTATTATCATTATTATTCTTAGTTTCAGAATCTTCATCAGGATGAGAACCTGCTCGAATACGTTTTCGTTGTATATGATCTTCAGTATTTAGTTCTTCACTTAAATTTTCTTCATTTTCATCATGTGATTTTTGTTCAGTAGTTTCATTCGAAGATTGAGAAGCCATAACTTTTTATATAAGCTATGATACAAAAAAAAATTTTTGTTTTCTTTATTTTTTTTTGTTAGGTCGCAGGGTTCGGCTGTAGATATGTTTAATAATATGCGCAGTCGTAAATGCTGGTTACTTTCTTAGCAGAAAACGACATCTGATTGACTGTTTATACGTAACCAATGAAAAGAAAGAACTGAAATATGTTTGTTGCTTCACAACTGATGTAGAATGAATATATAAATGAAATGTATTACATGGTTTCGATTTCAAGTTAATAACATAAAGTTGATGTTAATAGTTAGAAAAATGATTATTTTTTTTTTCGTGTTTTAATTTAAATATTATTCCTAATTTTAAAATAAGGAGAACTATTGTAAAAAATATGTTATAGATAAGCGAATAAATAATAATAGAAAAAATGTTTCAACAAGGTAGATATGTTTCTTGTTGTAAGATTCTCAAGAGAAATTTATTGTTTGTTTCTATATTTATTAGGAAAACAATCTATTGGCGTATCATCTCAAGATCGATTGATGTCGACATCTTTTCGATATGAAGTAAATAAAGGAAAACCAGACAATAGTGCTTTACGAATGCAACAGAGTGCTCAAGTACATATAATCTATTAATTAATAAGAATGAAACTCTTGTTTTTAATTCTTTAATTAGATTGAAGAAGCTTATTTCAAACAGCAGAAACAACTTGAACAGTAAGATTATTTGAATATATTTAATAATATTATATATTATATTGTATTGAAAATTGAAGAAAATTCATTTTCGTAATGATCAATCTTATGATATTTTAGAGATAAATATGAACAATTTAACGCTAAATGGGCAGAACAATCAGCTTGGTCCAATGTAGCATTACGAGAATCAATAGTGAATAAACAACGTCAACAAGAACTGTTATTACTTCGCAAAGCTCATCTTACGGTACGTTTTTAAATACGTCAAAGAGTGCGATCTTTTATATGAAAGAGACGTACCTAAAAACGTTAACAGTTTTATTGTAATGCGGGAATCTGCTTAACATGAAAATCGATTTTGAGTTCGGACTCTATGCATAAGGTAGATCTCAATGAGATATTAAAAATTGTAAAAGGATACGAGTTATCAACACTTTCTTTTTTTTACAAAGCTATAGCCGTTTTACTGAAATTTTAGCCGTATAGTATGATATGCACAAAAGAATCGAATGATGATATTTGGACTTGAAAATTTCAACTCAAAGGAATGTTTCGAAAACCTTATGGTTTTTTTGGAATGCAACATCTTTCAAGAGAAATATTCTTCGTCATTGAAGCCTACTTTATATGCAGGGTCCGAATTCAAAAACGATTCTCGAGTTGGGAAGATTTCCGCATAAGAAAAAATAACCATCGAATAACAGAAAGACTTATGTTTAAATAACGTTTATATAATTCCTTAATAGGCTCGTCGAGCAGCTCTAGCAACATTACTCCAAAATGAACAACAAATTTATGAACAAGAATTCCATAATAGAGGCAAGGCACTTTACAAAGATATGTATCAAATTGATCCTCAATGTACGCCACTTGATTTATATCGCTAATTTTATAAATTAAAAATTTCATTGATTTTTTTTTCTCGAATAAATTATCTTTTCTTTTTAATAATTGAACAAAAATATTATTCTAATGATGATGATGATAAATGATTTTCTTTCGTAGAAAAGATGTTTAGATAGATTCTAAACAGTAATGCAAATCAAAAAACTAAAGCAAATATGAGTCAATAATATTTATTACAAATTCATTAAAAGTTTTTTATGAGTTTAGAAAAGTAAAGTTAACTACGCTGCCTATTCCCATTCTCTTGATGAAATTTTTAACGATATGAAGTTACCCGTGTATTTTTTATTGACATTGCGTTAACAAAAAGCTGTTCAAACAATATATCAAGACGTTTCTCATGATATTTCCATCTGTCTCTCAGTAGCGTAATATATTATTTAACTGAATTTTGAAAAGATATGATAAATTTATATTCAAAATAGTATATGTTCATAGAATAAACCCTTAAACTTAGATAATTGCTGTACATTTTCGTTTTCTATTGATGATTAAAAGAAAATAAAACTCGTTAACCTTAAAGTGATAAAAAAACCGATTCAGATGAATAAACAAATATTACGGTAATATTATTCTTCGATGACTTTTTCCCATGACGAAAATAATTCTTTTAGATTTCAGATTTATTAGTTCTCTAATTATATTTTGATCATTTTGATGCAATGATTAATACGAGATGTGTGGTATGAAAATCGGTTAACATGGACCAGAAAACGTAAAAGGTCCTGTTTTTGACGTTATCTATTTGTTTTATCGTTTAAAAAAAGTCTGCGATATCATTAAAGAGCATTTTTTAATTAAATAAAATATACTCTTTCTTATTTTATGTTTGCAAACGTAAATTTAATATCAACGAAAAATACAATGTCATTTTGTGTCTAGAGATAAAGGGTGTGGGTGTGAGTGTGAGTGTAGATGTGGGTGGAGCTGGGTGTGTGTGTGTGTGAAGTTGGGTAAGGTGCGGGTGTGGTTGTGAGTGTGTAGGATGCAGGTGGTGTTTAAGAATATATCAATCTTCACGTTCAATCTCACACCCCACACCTACACCTGCATACCAAAACGGTGAAAAATGGCATTTGTTTTCTCATCGTTTTAGGCAGTTTAGGACATAGTTTCGATTGGTCGGAATGATCGACTTGGAATCATTCAACTCGAAGAGTCGTATGGGATAACCGGAAATTAAACAAATATTATGCAGTGAAAATTGTTGACCTTTTCATATCATCCGTTGTGTCAGAAGATAATGCATTTAAATATCTCGCTCACTAGTTTTTGATAGATGCCATTTTGAGCGTATTAGTACAAGAAGTGCCAATTTAATAGTTGAATGGTCGGCCAACAAGTAATCTTAACATGAAAGAAAAGAAAAAACATTTTTTTTTTATAGAACATCGATCCCCAGTCAAGTGCTGAAGTACAACGATTACGATATAAACTTTAAATAAATGACATTGATTGGCTACAGCAAGTTAATGCTTTACAAGAAAATAACAAAAAATTTAAGAAGTCTGCTTTTACTTGAAATTGATTTTACGATGAAATCATTATTAACTGAAATGATTGAATCAATTAGAAGGAAACTTGATGATTATAGAGAAAGTTACGAAGAATAAATGAATAAGAAGGACGATTTGAACTAATCCAGGTCGATTATTCCGACCGTCGGAAACGGCTATAAAACGACAAAGTACGGCATTAATATTGACCTTACTTCGCCGTAATCCGTCATACCGTTTTACGAGACTTTTTTATCACTAGAAAACGGCATGACGGAGTGCGGTGCCATTGTTCGATGCTTTACATGGTTATTACGATGTTTGAGGCCATTTACGCACCGTTTTCTTGGACATGGGGTGTCATTTTTGTGTGTTATATATATTGTATTTTGTCTTCGATTCTATGAGTTTTTTAAAGGGCTTGGATCAAACTAATTTGTCTGTATTTTTGTCTATAAGAAAACAATATATTAAATCAATTAATAATAAATAATCATTATGTCATTTTCTTGAGGAAAAACAGCTTCGTATATTTAATTTTGGAATATGGATCTAAAGATTTTTGTATCATATTCCTCCCAGTAATATTCAATGCGATTCACGATAACAAAAATTTAAGTATGTGGACTTTAATTTATATAATTTGTTTGATTTTTATAACATTTGCATGATGAAGTTCAAAGTTCTCTAAAGCTGTTTTTTTCTAAGAGGATTTTTTCGATTGATTTTTTAATAACTTTAGTTGTAGGTTGGTAATTTCAGATGCTTGATCCAGTGTTTCCTCGCAAAATACAATGTAGTTACGTCATTTATGGTGTGGATGTAAGTGCGAATGACCATGACTATATTCATTCACACTCACATTATATACTCACGCCTATATCCACACCGACACCCTCACCTCGAATATCATATCATGAATAATTTCCTTGAAGAAATATTTATATTTTTCATATTGAAGAAATAGTTGATTTATGTGAAAAACACAATTTTTATTTTTACTCGTGATGAATTGAGCTTTATAATAAATACTAAAACATGCAATATGGCCACGAAAAAAAACAATACGTAAAACTAGACATATTAAAAAAAGCAAACCCTAATGCACAAAATACACATAAACAAAACAACAAGTATCTGAGATCATAAAAAAAACAAAAAACGTAACTCCTGAGACAAGATTATTACAAATTTGATTTCAATATATTTAAATAAGATCATCTGACTGACAAATATATTTCATAAGATAATAAAGTGCAAAAATGACACGTTCATTATCTTCATTTATCTGAATATGTCGTAATGATTGTATTTTATTCCAAAATAGATTAAGTAATTTAATACGCTGCATTGATAGATTATTATCTATATCAATATTAGGAAATTGAAATATTTGATTAGATAAATAACGATAAGATATATTTTCAAATGTTGAAAGATTATTAAATATTGGTAATGCTGAAGAATCAAATAATTTATTAGCTAAATTTTTAATAAATTGTTCAATTGTTTCATATTCATTTATAACTGATGATGTTGTTGTTACAATAATAGGTATTGTTGAATGACTAGCTATAAGAAAATGATCAAATGTTATTATTGTATGAGTTGAATTATGAGAAAATTCATCAAGAATTTGTAAAAGTAAAAAATAAATTGATTCATTAGTTAAAATTTTTGATAATTGATGTTGATGAAGAAATGATTTTAATGTTTGAAAACGAGCTACTGGAAGATTATGTTTATATTCATCAATAATTATTCGAAGATCAGATGTTATACGTTCAATCGTTAATTTAATTGTTTTATCAAATATTGTTACTTGTGAAAGATTTTTTTCAATAGGTGATACAGCTGTTAGATAAGTTGATTCTTTCATTGTTGAATTATTTAATAAATTACTATCATATTCATTACTTGATTGCGTTGATGATGATGTTGTTGATGCAATTGATGAACCATAATTAGATTGTACAGTTGAAATAGTTGGAAAATGATATGGTTTATTATTAATAGTTAATTTTGATTCACGATTAGATAATGAATGTTGACGTCGAGCAATGTTTAAGGCTATAAAAAAAAACAGATATATTGATTTATCCTCATTATTAATATTAAAGAAAGTTTTTGTATAGGAAATTCAATAATTATTGACTAATTGTATTTTGTTTTTGGAATTAGATTTTTGGTTATATCTCTTCTACAGCACTTGTCAAAAATATAAGACCAACATAATTTTGCGCTTATTTTTTTACTATAACAAGTATTTTATTCATATTCAAATCATAGTTTAAATAGTCAATGACGTTCTCTATCCACTGAAATTTTCTAGATGAATTATGAATGAAAAATTTTTCCAAAAAAAAATAACAAAAATCATCGTTTTCAGATCCCTGAGACTTAGAAATTACTCTGTTTGGTTTTTCCGAACTTTTCTCTCGTAATCTATCTATGAAATTTCGGTGAATAGAGAACTTCACTAGTTGTTTAAACCATTATTTGGATATAAATCAAATGCTTGTTATCGTGAAGAAAAGTACAAAATGAACTTGATCTTGTATCTTTGACTAGTACTATATTATTATTATATAACGATTAATATGATGATAATCGTTCTTCATTTTTATGAAACATGATCTAAAGGAAGTGTTGAAGTAAATAGAGTAAAAATTTGGATCAAGGACCTTTCCCCAACAGATTATGACATATACTCTGTGCCTAGTAACAGTAGCTACATTATGCTGCATATCTTCAATTTCATAGGAATTACACTAACAGCTATTGTACCTTCATTTAATGTTAGTTTATTGATTTCAGGTAAAACACGAATTCTTGGTTGTGGATTTTGATTATTCAATATTGGACTTGAAATCTAGAAGAAGAATAATAATAAAAATATTTTGTTTAAAAATTAAATTATTTGATATACATTTGATTTATTTGATTCAGTCGTTGATTCATTTGAAACAATTGGAGATGGATTTGATTTTTTTACTTTAAACCACCATAATTTTGATATTGTATTATGATTATTATTATTAGTATCAGTTATATCTGTTTTTTTCAAACATTCATCAGCATTACTTTTACTTTTTTTTAATAAATTAATTTTTTTTTGTTTTTTTGTTGTTATTTGTTTTGTTCTTAAATCAGGTCCAATAAGAACAATACCTTGTGTATTAATCATGGATTGATTTTGTATAAATTCAATAGGTGTTGTCTGTTTTATTAAATCTTGTTCTTCATCAGTAAATGAATCATCATCATCATCATCATTATTATTATTAATATTATTATTTTCATTCGATGTTGGTAAACATTCAATAACAGATGTTGATTGTAATGTATTTCTATCTGTTGTATTTATTGTAAAATATTGTGCCATAATTTCTTCATAAAGATGCATTGATGATGATGATGATGGTAAATCCTTAGATTTATTTGATATTAAATGTTCACATTTATTTTCATTTATATCAATTATTTGATGACCTGAACGATTTTGATGACAATTTGTACATAATAATGGTTTCCATGGATTAGCTTGAAATAGATCACACATTACTTTTTTGTTTTTTTTTTGATTTTCTAAAATTAAAAAATTTCAATTATATAATTGTTGTTTTTATTAGATGTTAATCAAATAAGAAAAAAAATAATCTTTTTTATAAGATTAATATACAAAGGAAAAAATAAATTGCAACAAAACGATACACAGTCAAAACACACACACAGATATAGATATGAAGTTTAAATAAATGTTTATTTATTTTTTTTATAGCATTTCCTAAAAAAAAAATTTCTTGTTGATTAAAGAAATAAAGAGATTTGTTTTTTTGAACATACCAATTTTTCTGGTATAGGAATACCCATAAATTTTTTATAAGTATCTCGAACTTTTCTTAAAAATTCATTTTTACTTTCATTTGTTATACTTTCTAATTTCCATCGAAATTGTTTTGTTTCTGATTCATCAACAAAATCAAAAACTAATAATTTTTGATGATTTAAATAATTGGTCTTTCATGAAAAAAAAAAAAACAAGATGAAGAATATTTAATTAAATAGAAAAATAACTTACCACATTAACTAAATGCATAAGATCACATTTTAATTGTTGATTTGTACCTGATTCTGATGTTAATTGAGCAGGTAAACGAACATGACGTGAATCAATTGTTGCATATGCATCTTCAATCATTAATATCCAATTTTGAAGAAGTAATAAAGCAATCATTTGACTATTACCAGCTTCAATAAATAAAAACAACAATAACAAGATTTAAATCATTTAAATATGATACACTATTATCATAAACAATGCTATGAAGTATAATTTGTTTATTATCAGTACTTGAAAATCTTAGTTTATCTCTTTAGTGTTTATTCAAGTTTTTCACAGAAACTATAGAACGACTCTACTGATATTTGCCTTCACTGGAAAATTGATAGACCAACTCTATCAAAATATACCTTTTTTTTTTGTAGCAGTCTGTTATAATGCTCTGATCTTTACTTTCTTTCTATGTATTTCAAAGCTTAAAAATTTCTCTTATTAAAATTTCAACTAACTTTGATCCATTCGAATCATAGTTGAATAAAAATCAATCATATCATCATTTGGTTCATTGATATTACATTCAATTTTAATAATATCAAATAAACGTTGTCGATATTCATCTGAACTAATACGACTAATCTTTTGTAATGCACCTTCACCACTTTGAACAATAGGTGAAAGAACTTCTATAATAATTACAAAAAAATGAAATATCAAAGATTAAATATAATTTATTTAAAAATTTTCTTCTAAAATATTTTTTTTTACCTAGAATATGATTAACAATTTTTTGTGTTTTTTGTTGATCAGCAAGAATAAAAGCAAATGCAGCTGATTGTAATTCAATTGTAAATGTTTGTAAACGATAACCAATATCAAGCATAAGTACATTTGTTAAAAGATCTTTACCAACAAGAATATATTCGGATTCTATATCATTATTTGGTCTATGAAAACAAAAGTCAATAAATAATTCAATATTATTCAAAATTTAATATTTAACATACGCTTCATATTGAAATATATAAATACCATAATCTGTTAGAACAGTTTGAGCAATAAAATATTTACTTGTTGTTGAACGAACAACAAAACACTGCGGAAAAAAAAACAAATACAAAAAAAAAATTGAAACATTTTCTTTTATTTACTTTAAAATGTAGTTTTATTTGTTCATTATTATGTGTAAAATGTTCTGTAGCTAAATGAAAATGTAAACGATGATCAAGTTCAACTGCATCCGACGATATGTCAATAGATATTTTTGATTGTGTTTCATCTTCAAATCTAATGCATATATATATGCATAAACAATTAGAGTTAAATATTCAACAATAATATAATTACACAGGTGGTAATGTTATTGCTGTAGTTTGACAATTTGAACAAACATAAGATGATGTATTTTCTAGAAAAAGAGAAACTATGTTTTAGTTCGATTATTCAGAATGAGTATAGAGAAGAGTAAATAGAAAAAAAAAATATGATTTAGTATACTTCCGAACTAGATTTGATTATGTCAGAATTCTTTTTACTTGATAATATTTTATCAAACTTTCTTTAAATTAGACTTGACCTCACACTTCAAATAAAACTTGTCGGGTCTGGATTCATAATGAGCTTGATATACTTCAAATATAGTATTTAATAAATGAAGACAGAACACAATTACTTTCTTATGATAACCTTGATAGATAAGCAACTATAGAACTCATTGCATGTCTTACATCAGCAACACATTTCAAGAGAGGCGCAATAATTCTTAAGAACTTTTTGTCTTGTTTCCTTAATAGGATATACTGTTCAATCAACAAAGTGTACTGTTTTGTAACTGTTGATATGATACATAAATTGAATGCTATGATTGTATATCTATCAACGAGATAAAGAATATTAATACTATCGTAAGAAACTAGTTACATTCAATATCTAGTATTCATAATGATAATTAAATTCATATAATAGAGTAAAGAATAGTATTGTTCTGTTATTTTTTTCTATGGAATTTTTCGTCAACTTCAAATAACCTTGAAATATGAAAATCTTCTGTCTAAAAATCTTAAGTCGGATTAATAGTCTAATTAAGATATGTGAAGTAATATATATATTTTTTTTTTAATGGTAAATATTCTGGTTCCGGAATAGAAACTGGGGCCAAAAATGATTGATTTCACACATGTCTACATATATATCACGCAAAGATTTAACTAGATGATTTATGAACCAATTAACTTCAAAATTCTCAATATGATTCTTCTGTTTTCTCTTTGTACTAACCAGCATTGTTCATTGTGGTGAATTCAGGAAAGCTTCGGCCACATTTTGTACACTAAATTAAAAGAAAAGCTAATGAATTTGGTTGTTTTTTTTTTTTAATCTAAATTGTTTTTCAAACCTCAACCAATGATGATGAAGTAGTTTTTATATCAGCTGACATAGGTAATTCAAGATGCCGTTCAATTTCTTCAACAAATGCCTAAAAATATTTATAAATTAAACATGACAGAAAAAATCTAATATTTTATTTATTTAGAACTTTTTGATCGTGTATTGTATCAAATAAATATATTCTTCGTTCAACTTCACCTCTTCGTTTTTCAAATGTAAATTCAACAGTTTTTTGAATACTACAAATAAAAGTACCGTTATAAAATTGTATATAATTATTTTTTAATATTTTAAACCTTTCATTATTAGTTAAAAGTTTAATTGTTGAATATTTAAGTTTTTCTATATAATATTTATCATTATTATCTTTTTCAATTAAATACATTCGATCAATTTCAATTGTAAATGAACGATTATTATTCTCGAATGTTTGATCAGTAACAAAAAATATTGTTCGTATACTATCTGAACAACTAAATGAATATAAACATGTAGTATATTCATTAAAATAAATTTAAAGAAAAATTATTTCCATACCGCCAGTATTATTTTCTTCATTAGTAATTAATTCTATTTCATGTTTAGGTATAATTGTTGTTGAATATTTTGCATTAAATGAAATTTCTTTTTCTGATGGTGATGAATCTGGTATTGGTGTTGCATCCGATAGTGTATTTTGAAAATCAACAACTTCTAAGATAATTTTTGTTGGTTGATCTGATTTACGAGAACGAGGACTTTTTCGTCGTTTTGGAGACTATTGATTTAGATTATTATTTCTTTTTTTTTTTTTTTGTTATTTTTAAATTTAAATCTTACTTTTGATAAATCATTTGCTAATTTACGTGGAATACTACTTGCAATAGATGTTGATGGTGGTGATTTTAACATCGTATCATCATGTTCAACTATTGCTGTTGTATAAGTATTTTCGACAGGTAATGATAATTGTGATGTAAGATAATTATGTTCAACTTCATGACGTGATTCAACTAGTTTTCCCAGATGACGTCTCTGTACAGCTGATTCATTTTCTGAACCGGATGTAGCTAAAAAAAAACGAAAGGATATCATAGAATCCATGAAGAAAAACAAAACAAAACGAAGCAATTTTATTTACCATGTTCTGTTGGTGTTTCATCATTATCAAGTGATTTTAAATGTCCATCTCGAAGTTTTCGACGAGATCGACTAGATTTAATATTAAAGATAGATTAAATAATTAAATAAAATAAAAAATAAATAAAATAGTTGTAATTTCTTAAATAAGTCGATTAAATTTTGATGTAAACTTTTTTAAGATCAAGACCAAAACAAAAAAAATCGATATAGTCTCAAACGATATCGTACTTTCAGAAATATCTCAAGACTCTAATAATATCAATTATTGTATGATTTCTAAGACAACAATTGTAAGTTGTTTTCCTTTATGTCAGATAATCTAACGAAAATCTCAATAATAATTTCAACTTTATTTATACTAATTGCATAAGAACAGTATGTGTCTATTTCTAGAAAATTCAAATGAAATACTTATGGAAAATGTTCTATAGAAATTCAATTCTCAATGCTTTAAGATATAAGTGTAAGAGATTGATTTGAATACATAAAAAATATAGAAGTAATGTTTTATAGTTTTTGTATTGCATACGGAAATTCATTTCTATTATATATATACTTTTCTAGTAAAAATCAATTTTCTGACTCAAGTCAACTTAAAAACATAAAGATATTATTTCTATATCCTTTTCATAACAAAATGAATATCTTGATCTAATCAAATGTCAAACTAGAGATCGAATTTCTTCAACTGAACATATATAAAAATGAACTTTTAGTTATGCATCATTGATATTTAATCTAAACGCTTACAGCTTTATTGCTCGATCTCTATCATCCGTTATATAATGATGTGTAGAAATGTGAATTTAATATGTTCTTCTCTTCATAACTTCTACAGGGTGAGTCAAAAGTCACTTTACCGTAAAAAAATTAATATCTGTGCCATACCTTGATCAAGTGGATTGAATTTCTTTTACTGTCAATAAACGAGTATTTGTTGTTCATATCCATAGACGAAACAGTCGAAAAGAAATGTTTTGAAGCATCACTATTAGTTTCAACAACAAAAAAAAACTCTTCCGTCTCAAGCATTACGAATAAGCAGCGCAGCGATGAACGATCTCATTGTCAAAACAAAGCGTTAATAATTGAATCACATTTTTAGCTATCATATAGTGTTACACTGTTATTTAGATATGTTTTCCTTCCTCTATTCTCCTAGACTACATGAGTTGTACTCACCATACATATCTTCTTCTTTCTTATGCAGCCGGATATACTTGAACTCGTTCTCGCCCTCTGTATGCTTATTTAATGTCTTTTCTTCTTGCGTCATTCAACGTGTCCTTTATCCATCATCTTCTGTTCAGTTTGTTAGCTCTTTTCAAAGCTTATATAACTGTAAATGCACAGATAGGCGTAGGTTCAGTTAGAAGGCAAGACATTCTTCCGTATTGTTTTTTCTTACTGACTATAATAGGATAGAATATTTTTGTTGCAATCAATACTGATGCTTCCAAATGGTTCTTCCCAACATTTTTTTCCCTATGGATATCGACAATTCTTTATCATTAGTAGAAAAAAAAAACATCAGCATCAAGTTATAATGAAGATATTCAATTAAGTTCTCGATATTATCTAATCTAAGAATTTAAAAAATTTGTTGTTCTACTTTGATATTCATTCGTATTATATGTGTAAAGTCCGTTGGTTTAGTCTTAGACTTGATGGGTTCTATTTGTGTGAAGATATGATTTAATTTCATTTATTATCTAATATTACCGTCGAGAAACAATTGTTCCGGATGAATTTGTTACAACAGATTCTGGTTCTGTTGTTGATTCACTTGTTGTTGTATTTTGTGATGATGATAATATTGGTGTATTAAATCTAAAACCTTGAGCACGATTTGATGGAGGATTACGTTTCCGTGGAATTCTCTTGAAAAAGAAATAATAATAATAATAATAAAGAAATTCTAATTAATAAAAATATTTACTTGTTTCTCTTTTGTTGTAAGTTGTTCATTATCAATCATAAGCTAAATTGAAACAATAATAAATAAACAAAATAATTGAAAAATAAAACAAACTTCTCGAGCTTCTTGTGAAAATACAAATGGTAAATTATATATAATATTTTGTCGATAATTTGATGCATATGTAAATGGATTACGTGCAAAGTAGAGCTAATAGAACAAAAAAAAAAGAAAAACGAACATATTTGAACTTCAACCATTTAAATGATTCATACTCGTTTTATCATTGGCATATGTTGAATTTGTTCAGGTATACGTGTTATAAAATTATCACTTAAATCTAATTCTTCAATTGATTTCATTAATTCAACACCTTAAAAAAAGAAATTTGTTTTTGTTTAGTTTTTTTTTTTTTATACCAGCTATGTCTTCAATAGAATTTTGACGTATTTTAAGTGTTAATAATCGACATGAACCTTTTGTTTCTGACCATATTGGTATAGTACGTAAATGATTAGATGATAGATTTAAATGTTTCACATCAGGTATTATCTATTAGAAGAAGAAGAATTTTATTAAAGAAAAAAACAAAAAAAAAAGAAAATTAATTTTTGTTTTTACTAACATCTAATATCTTTGAACAATCTTGTAATCGATTATGACTTAAATCAAGTACTTCAAGTGCAACTAAATGTTTCTAGAAAATTGAAAAATATATTTTTCAAAATAAAGAAATACATGTTTTTCTTACTAATGATTGATCAAGACATTCAATAAAATTATGAGCAAGAAAAAGTGATTTAAGTCGTGGCCATGCTTGAGGTTGTGTTGAATCTCCACCACAATCATTTATTAAATCCTTTTAATTTATTAAAAATAAATTAATTAAAATGAAAATATTGAAATAAAAATTTACTTCAATTTTTGTTACAGATTGAGAACATATTAATGTTTCAAGTTGATGACGAAGTAAAGATAAACCGAGTACCATATGTGGTGGAATCTTTTTTAATTCAAGACAAACAACCTGTTGAAATGGATATAGAAGAACATTTCCTTGAAGAGTTGGTGAATTATGAATTAACTAAATAGAAGAAATAAAAATAATAATTATTAATATACTGTTCTGATATAATGAAGATAATCGAGTCAAATAAAATTTTTAAAGACAAAAATGAAAGATGTCTTTTTTTTTAATCAAAAATAAAGTTCAATAAAAAACAAAAAATTCAAGTGATTATTTTCTATTCTGAATTCATATTAACATGAGTAAAACTTTTTATACTTGAAATCTATTTGCTTTTTATGAAACTGAGAGAATTAAACAATGAATTATATGATTTGTCTTCTTGATTCTAAAACTTTATCAGTATTACGAAATCGACAGCAGTGATCTTTTGTTCCATAAATGAAGATTAATCTTCACCCTTCGAATTTTATTTGTCCAGTGATAGATCACTTCGTCAAATAACTCATTATCATAACTATTAAAAAAAAACAATCTCCTCTGTTTAATTGTGTTAGTTACAGTCAAGTGTACCAATCAATGAAGCTACGATCATACTGTGTGGTTCATTTCTGTAGCTACAAATAACAGTTTGAAACAATTATCGATTATTGCGATATACATAAGGACTGAGTATCGTTGAGTACGATATCATCACTGAACTCAATGCGGCAGTTTCTTTTCGTGGTCGACGTCCGGACCAATTAAATAAATTTTAGTCAAACTTAGACACTGGGTTGAGCTGAATGCCAAGTACTCGACCTGATTGTAAGACTCTATTCTAAATAGAACACTACTGTTATTTTTATCGTATAAAAATAAGCTATATTATTTTATCCGATACTCATTATAACTGTCTAAATATTCGATACGTGAGACTAGTTTGAAAAATTTTTACTGTATAAAACAGTTGTTATAATATGAAACTTCTTTACTATTTTCTACTATCAAATAGATGACTACATCAAATGAATTGTTTATCTATTTAATTCAATAAAATGAATTTACTACTCACTAGAGATTGACGTGACCAATGGTCACGATAAACTTTTAATGTACCTATAGGACGACTATTTTTTTTTTATTTTCCTCGTCAGATGATAAAGAACTATAATCATTTGATTCGATACAATATACTTTTGCATACCACCAATCTGGTAAGTTGTTTGTTAATAGATCGACTTGATACAGCAAATAGATTTTTCACGACCATAGCCAAAAGATAATGATCACGTCAATATCTACTCATCACGCAAAATTCATTTACATTATCAACACTATTTATCAACAGTTAACAGTTGCTATCGGATTTGAGTATTAATCAAGTACCAATAAAGTATACATTGTATTCAATACTCAATCAACATCTTTTACTACATTCGCTTTATATGAATAGTACCTAAACTAGTTTTATCAAACTGTTACAACTCGGTGTTTAAATATAATACCATATCTATCTCGAATTTCGATACTATATATATATATAAAGAAGATATGACTGTTTGTGTTCTACATAATTTTGAAACAATTGAACAATGTTTTTAAAACAAAAACCTAATTTCATTCTTCACATACTTTAACGACTTGTATTTTTTGTAAAAAATCATGTAAAAATACTAAATCTTCTCGAAGTTTCGTATTAATTGTTAAATGTTGAACAGTTGGTAATGGTGGTAATGGTGGTAATGAATTTGTTCTTGGATGACCATTTACTAACGATAATGTTATATTAAGTTTAGCCGAATGAAAATAATTATTTAATAGAGTAAGTGAATCCGATGTAAAACACACTTTACTATCTCCATGTAAAACTCTATGTCCATTTGTACGTAGTAATTCAGCTAATTGATGAATAACTATAGCTGAAGAAGTAGTAGTATTAGACGATGATGGACGAGTAGTTGCCATCAAAATAACAAGAAACAAAACTTAAATAATATATCTTAAATAAATAAAAAAAAAGAAACCAAAAGATTTATTTTGTTCTGTCATGTTGAAAGACACATAGATAAAAGACAAGGCACAAAGATATTTTATTTTTTCTTATTATTATAACTTAATAGAAAAACACACACACACACAAAATTCCATTTCATAATATCACTAATATTCATCTTTGATGAATACTACTGTTAATATACTTATTAAAATTTTTCTATCTATAAAAAAATATATATATATTTACATTCATTTTAATCTTCATCATCAAAAGGAAAACCAGTTTGATGAGAAGAAAAATTATGATTAGCATTATTTCGAAAATCAGTTAAATAATTATGTAGAACATTTTGTGATAACATTAATTTTCGATTTGTTTTTCCTTCTGTTAATTTTGCACGTCTTTCTTCAAAAAATTGAATCTAAATATAAATTAAAACAAAAACAAAAACAATAATATTTCATATAATAATAAAAAAAAAACAAAAAGAAAGTTGATCTATAATACACATACCATTTGTGCACTACAATCATGATGTAGTTGTTCAATTTGTTTTTGACATTTTGATTCACAATTATCATATAAATCTAAGCACTTCCACCATGCATCACGTGCTTGCCAACATGTTGTTAATGATGATGATGATGAATTTGTATTTGTTGTATCTTTTGCACTACTAACCATTGAATTAGCACTCATTTTTTACAGCTAAATGTAGAAGAGGAAAAGAAGATAAAAGAGAAGAGAACAAACGTCTATGAATTATGATTAAGGGCGATAGTAGCAGTACTTCAAAAAAAAAAAGAGATGACCAATACAATAAAAAGATTTTTGACGACATCTATTATTAGTTATTAATATATTTTGGACTCCACATTAGTACTGACTGGTTATAATATATCCATTTGTTTATTTGTTGTTTTTTTTTCTTCTTCTTCTTGTTATAGATTTTTGTTCATTTGTAAAGAAAATATTTAATTGGTAGGTGTAATTGAAAAAGTTAAAAGAAAAAAACTAATCGAAGATTAGAGTAGACTTTATTTTCATGAATAAAGTCTTAGTATTTTCTTCGAAAATTATTATAAAGATATTCATTAACGAAGGTTATCTTCGTTTATTTATAATATCTTTGCTGTCAAATAGGTCTTATTATAGAAGATATATACACATTAAATTTTTATATTTCTTGTTTGAATCTCTTCGGAGAAATAACTTGAATATATATGTACGTGTGTGTAAATAAATGTATATCTTTTTTTTGACCTCAATAGCAACATGTTTTATATATTTATTGTAGGATTTATTGATTCATTTGTTTTTATGATTAGATTTGAACGATCATGGCTGAAGTAGTACAACGCCATTTAGAAGATATGTTATCGGAATTTGAACAAGCTAAACGTATTGGCTTATTTACAGAAGCTGAAATAAAGTATGAATATAATGAGGATAGAAAAAAAAATATTTATAAATTCTAGATTTTTTATTTTTAATTAAATTTTATACGAAAGACAGATTAGATTGATGAATTTTTTCAATAGTAAAAAAAATAGAACAGGGTTTTCGTCGAATATGTCGGTTGAGACGATATCGTTCATGGTTACTATACTTTTGTAGGATCTGTATACCTCTTGAAACTCCAAATATACTTTTTTTGATAATGAAAAATAGTTAAGATTTATTTTTGTTTTTTTTTTGTATTAAGAAAAATAGTTCGGACAAGAAGACGGCATGAGTATAAGATCATTCGACGAACAAAAGAAAAAGAATGTTATCTTGATTATATAAAAGTAAGTGAATTTAAATATATTTGTAATATTTCAATAAAACAATTGAATTTAAGTATGAAACTCATCTTCTCAAACTTGTACAACTTCGTCGAGAAGTAAATATATTTAGAACTATTTATCATAAAATCTAAATTATTATTTATAGAAATTAAAATTAGGAAGAATTAATAAGAAAAATGAAATTGATTTATCTATTAAACGACGTATTGAACGACTTTTTCGTGTAAGAGAAGCAAAAAATTTTTTGTTTTAATAATGTTTTTCATTTATTTAGAGTGCATGCCATCGATTTAAAAAAGATGTTAATTTATGGTTAACATTTATTGAATTTCTTAAAAAACAAGTAATGAAAAATATTCAAAAAAATTTTTTTCTTTTATTCTTCATTTTTTTTCACAGCATGATTATTCCACAGCATCAAGTACGTTTACATCTGCATTACATACACATGGCAATAAATATTGTAAGTAGCAAGTTACCGGTCCGATTTTTTTATGAGTCCGATCGAACTGTACTTTGACGCTCGTAATGAAATTTTCTAATCGAAATCGGAGAGACACATCGTACACATTTCTCAGACACCTACAGCTAATCGAGTCCGGTACCAATCCGACGAACTTCAGTTCAAGTCCGAGTCTGGAAAGACTTAGAGTTTCCTAATTAAAAGTCATATAAATTTTTTTGAAATTAGGGTTATGGATAATGGCAGCCAAATTTGAATTTGAAACTATGGTATCTCCATCATCAGCTCGTTCATTATTTCAACGTGCTCTTCGTATAATGCCACAAGAAAAAAAACTTTGGCTTGAAGTAAAATTATAGAAAAGAAAAGATTTTGTTAATTTAATTTATTTAATTTATTTAATAGTATTTTAAATTTGAATTATTGTATGTTGAATTAGTACAAAAACGACAAGCAGTACTTGATCGAACAAAACAAGAAATAGAAAATAATGAAGAAGATGCGGTATTACAAGGCAAAATTGTTGAAATTGTTTTTCATAATGCACAAACAACTATCGAAAGTAAATGATAAGTTATATAGAATTTCTTTTTTTTTTTGAAATTTCTTTTTTTTTTTTGTAGATGATCCAACTTTTATTTGTTCATTTGTTAAAATTCTTTATGAATTTTCACAATTTTCATTTGTTGAACCATTCATTGATCACATTTATTCAGTGTAAGATTACAATAGAAAGTATTTGTTTATTATGATTGTGTTTCTTTTTTTTTGTTAAGTTTAAAAGAAAAATATTCTTCTAATGCTCTCGCTCAATCATTGATAGCTCAACGTCCATTGATCAATGAACGTAAAATGATTGATGAAGCAGCTAAAAAAGAACAAGACGTTAGTAAGAATTTTTTATTTTTCAAATTTTACTAAAAATATAATAATTAAATTAACTTAGCTTTTATGATTGCTATACTTGAACAACAAGTTAGAGAAAATTATGAACAACAATTAAATAATTCAACTGTTAATAAAAGTAAATAGATCCATTTTAATTTCTTAAATTCTTTTTTTTTTTTATAATGATATTTTTTCTAGATGAATTATGGAATTTATATCTTGATTTTTGTCTTCAACGTCTTAGTCAAGCATCAGATACAAATAAAACTGAGGTAATTTTCTTTTACTAAAAAAAGAAAATACAGTTTAGCAAAAAATTGTGTGATATTCAACAATAAACAAAAACCTTTGAATCTCGAGTAGTATGTGTACTGTAGGTTTCGAAACTTTGTATGAACATAATATGTTAAGAATATGGATCAAAAAGTATGACTTTATCGTGATTGGTAAAGAATAAATATAGAGAACTACAGGATCTGCAGCAAGGTATTTTTCCTTCCTTCCTTTATAATATAATGCTCATAGTTCAACAACAGTCACAAATATCAATTAGTCGATCGAATTAGCTCATTTTTTAGGTCGAGAAATATGCTAGACTGGCTCATAGATCCATATAAATATATCGAGAATTAAACGTATTTTGATTAAAATCAATACAAAATAATCTTTTTTTTTTAAATTAAAAACCTTATAGAAAAAAACTTGATGTTGTTCTTAATAAATTTCTTTCGATTTGAATAATTCAGAGTGAAATCGAGTCATTGATTATTTCCTATTTGAATGAAAGGTCAACAAAATTATATTTGACATCTGACAATAATAATATATGATAATACATGATTAGTGAAAATTTTCTCATTATCTATTCGAAAGATATTATTAAAAATTTCTATTTGACTAGCTAACTAGAATTATTTCAATACAATAGGAGATAACTTTGTATGAATATATTTTTCATCATATAGACTAATAATTTCTCAAAGATTTTATTTGCAAAATCAGTTCAATACATACTAAATGAGATTCGACAATTATTCGTCTATAATCTGTATAACGAGATAAAAATATTATCTATTAATCAATCTAGTGAAATGTATTCATAATTATTTCATAAATAGTTAAAATATTTACATAAGAGTTTATCTTCTTTTAAATTTATTTAGCATATTTCTACGTGTGATCGAGTATTCTCATTGGCGAGTGAACAAATTTCTTTAACATCTGAACGTTATTTAGAATGGGTAAGATACGAGGATCCTATCCTTATTCTTTTGTTACATATAATTTATTTTTTTTTAGGTATCAATAGTTGATCATGATCGAGCAAAAGTTGTTATTCAAAAAGCGACTGACCACTATCCGAATGATGCTTCTTTGTGGAATAAACGTTTGTCATTATTGATTGAAGAGTCTACTGATTGCAAAAAAATAAAAAAAGAATTTAAACTCACTTGTCAAAATTCAGATGTCAAAGTAAAACATCTTTTATATTAAAATTCTTAAGTTTTATCTTAAAATCTTTTTTTTTTTATAAAGAAATCTTCTCTAATATGGAATACTATAATTGACTACGCACAAGAACATGATCACAAATGGACAGAAGAATTATTTGAAGTAAAAGAAAACAGCTATAGCATGAAAGTCTTAGTACAACATATTCGTTCATTGGTCAGAATCAGAAGTAATCAGTCTTTTTTGTTTTTTGCTGAATATTGAATTCTGTACGAAATGAAATATTACAATAAGTGAAATCAAATCTATATATTCCCATTTAAAAGCTAATTTCGATAGATATTGATATTGGCCAAAAAAAACACGTTGTTCGAAA